ACTAAAAAATCTCACGAAAAGTTTTGGTCGGATAATTTTGGCGCATGTAGACAGAGTGTTATATAATTGTATCATCTATAAAAACTGAACAACTCCATGGATTAATCTGAAAATTCTTGTGCATATACTAGATAGTATATGTTAACTTATGATGAAAGTCCGAGCTCCCTAACTCATGTAGTTTCCAAGATGTAAGAGAAAAGAAAAGAATCATATTTTTGGTCAGATAATTTTGGCGGCCACTGTATGTGACATATCCCGTATCCATGCGATGTAATCAATAATAATGTGCGGATCGTCGGTGACTAGAAGTTAAATAGCACGGATATTCTTCGAGGTAACGACGGTTACGGGACGACCACTCCGAGGGTCGTCTTCAAACGAGTCTCGTCCTCTTGCGAATCGACGAATCCAGTAAGCAACTGTGTTGAATGATACAGCATCAGGTCCGTTAGCGACGATTAACTTGCGGTGAATCTGCGTAGTTGTGAAGCCCAGTAAAGATCGAGTATTGTTGAGCCACGAATATGCCCTTTCTCCATTTCGGAAATGGTGGTCTCGAAAAACCGACTGGGTATTTTCTCTGACGAACATGAGAGAAAGTTCTTATTGACGGTTTTACGCACGACAGTTGTCGGTACCAGAACGCATAAAATTCATGGACAATATCGATAAGGCCAAAAAACTAACGAACAACTACGAGAACTTATTGATACCCCTATGTACAGTAGTCGAAGATATGTGAATGGATCAGAGGGAAAGATATCAGGCGGGAGTGAAAAATTTGGAAAGTATTTTTTTAGAATTGCTTCGTATGGTGATGAGCATTTTTTAGTTATATTTTCGACTGCTTCGTATACTTTGACAGAATAAAAGATAAATTTTGACTTTACAAAATAAAATAAACATGCCAATATGGTTAAATTATAAAAAAACAAGTGTTGTAGCATAGTTATACGATTTACAGTTAATCAACATGTTGCTTTTTGGATTAATTCTTTTCACTGCGGTGGTTGAGATAAGTTTTAATGTCTTTGATTTCGATGAGATTAGTTGTAAAATGCTTCATGTTTGTTGTGATAAAGATGTGTTGAATCACGTTTAAAATACAGCTGCAAGAAGTTTTTATGATGTGTTGTATCATTCAAAAGACTGGTTTTAACAAATGCATCAATGCACAAATCGAGTAAAGAGGAAACTAACGCTTCGTGAACAGACTGAAGATGTAGATTAAATACGCCAAAGTAGCGTCCACAACTGATCAAGCATGATCTCTTTTGTAATTATAAAAGAGACCGAAATTCGGAAACTTTTCGAGGCCTTTCGGGAACGTCTAAAATCTACGATTATGATTTCTGAAAGAGTTCTCAATATCAGTATTTGTTTTCCCATCTTCGCACTAACATCATTCGTTTCAATTTCACATCCTAATGACGAAGCGAGCGATTAGCATTGTGTCGGAGAGTTAAGCATGTTGCTAATATAGGCTATTAGGATTATAATCGTTTTTTGATCAATCAGATAGTAGAAAACAAAACAAACGCTAAAAAACAATTTAGTAGCTGTTCGAGTCTCAGTGAGATTTGAAAGAACTCCAGTTAACTATCGATGATATTCAGTTTGAGTTCGTGATCGTGAGTATAGAAGAATTGTAATATTCATTGTGAATTATTACGTCAAGTTGAAGAGGATGATGTGCAACAGTTCTTTGTCGACATGTTTTCAATTGCATTTGACAAAGTAGTGTCATCAAAACTGCAGCTAACTCTTTTTACAAGAACATTTTCGAAATCATCAGTATATTACACTGATGAAATTATGCATCAGCAACTAACGCTGTACGATTCAACTGTATTTTAGTGTTTATTGGCTTCTTTAACATTGGTTCTTAGTGTGTTTATAGATACTTAAAATTTATCATAATTTATTTTAAATAAATTGTAGAGATCAGTTAAACGTAAGTTACTATTCACAGCAAATTTACCAAAAGGTGAATATCACGGTCATAGACTCGTCTAAACATTGCTCAAACATTCTAAACCTACACTTTCTTCACTGCATATTTCTGTGTCCATTGACTCGCTGTTTCTTCAAATTGCTTTCTATCTGTCTCACAGCATTTCAATGCTTCTCGATTCAGTCCATGATCAAGATTTGGATCGGTCAATAACGAACTTATTGATAACAGTAGAGCACGGATACTGAACGCAGGAGACCATTGTGAATGAAGAATATCGAGACAGATCTCGCCTTTCGCGCTGATGTTTGGATGATAGATCGGTGTGGTGAACTGAACTTGTGGTGGCTTGAACGGATAGTCTGATGGGAAATCAATGACAAGATAGAATCTGCCACCGGCATAGGGAGTTTGTGGTGGTCCGTCGATGTAGCCAGTCCAATGTGTAATGTCGTTGTCTTGATCTTTGGGTTTGGCGAAGCATAGAGGAGCTGGATCTTTTTGAAGTTGATTGTACTGAATATGGAGTCGTTTGAGAAATGCCATACGTAAGAATTGTGCACTGATTTTAAAGAGAGGGATATAGAATTTCAATTTTCGTGAAAAAAATAAAATACGTTTTTATGAGACATTTTATTTAATGCAACTCAAATTCATACTCGCTTATATATACTTATGTACAGGTGAAAGGAAGAAAGAAAGACTCGATGACATGCGCACATTGGTTGGAAAAAACCTACTTGGAAGATTCCAACTTGCATTGTTAAGAAAATCTCAGAGTATGGCAAAAAGTATTGTAAATATGTACTTAACTCAATTTCCATTATATTTTAAATCGAGAATATTCCAGTTACGAATCATGCACATGCTTGGAAAAAAAGAAGAACTTTATAACATAGAAGCCATAAACATACTTTGCATTATTCTGTGCCGATACTTCACTCTTCAGATACGAACAAATTCACCCAGATATAAAGATAGCAATATGTTGCTGATATAGAGAAAAAGAGAAAAGACCCATACTATTAAGACGTTATCAAAAAATATCTTTATTTTTGTTGCGATGATCAACAACGTAGCAGTTTCCTACTCGATCAAATAATAATGCTATAGGTCCACTGAACTGATGAGTTTGCCGTCCTTCTCAATTTCCATCAAGGATCACTGTTCCGTGTTTCACGCCTGGGAACCCACACACCACTCGATGATTCCCAAAGCCTGCTACGTAAACACTCTTCAAGCGATCAACGAATATTCCGTGCGGATTCGGTGATCGTGACCACCAGCAACAGCCGCGCCTTACCTTGGCATCTTCAGTCCATTTCATTACGCGACGATTATTATTATCTGCAATATAAAGTGAATGATCTTGATCAACAAAAACAATAGTTGTCCAATTTAGCTCACTAAAGCTACCGCCGTGGTATCCACCTGCAACAATTTTTCCATATAAATCTCCCTTTCTCTGTTGTCTTACTTCGTTTTTTTTTCTACAATCCGAAGTATACAGCACTCCCTATTTCTATCTGCTACAACCTCACCAGCATCTGCATCCTTTGTTCATTTAGTAATGCAATCATTTTCATGGCCAGCGATATAAATCGTTTGGTCACCATCAATATAAATATCTGTGGTCAAATAGACAGTTCAACGAACTACTGGCCATACTACTTCGGGCGACAGTTATTCCCGATTGCTTCCATGTGGTATGCGCAGTTATATTCATAATAGCAAGAAAATCGATATTTGTCCAGTTTGGTAATGAATTTCATTGTTGTATATGTACAAAAAAAACAATATTGGGATAGTTTATCGATTTCACCAGGGTATATTCGAGCAAAAATAAAAAATATAGATGTCATGCGAGGACAAATCATCGTACGTCTATAAAAGGCGATATCAAACGCTACTTTTGTGCTGTCTCGAATCGATAACGGTCATTGCCGGATTTGAAGCGAACCGGTTCCAATGGTATTGCATTCAACCTATAAATCAACACACGACGTCTATGAAAGATAAATACCAATCAACTGGAAATGGCGGCGAATACTCAACGCGAAATCTACTGATATCAAATAAATATGCATAGTTTTCACTGGTACTCCTTTGGATCGAATCCACGATCATCTACGACGGATATTATCACATCAACGACTCGTGTTCATCCTTCTACACAATTTTGGCGTGATAAACATCTAATTATTGTATACTTGCGTATATTTTTTGACATTACTGAGTTCACCCCCATTTTGTTTTCGTCACACAGCAAATATGCGTTCACCTTTTTTCTTTCTTTCCTGCGCCGTACGAATGCGTTCACCTTTCTATTTTTTAATTCATGTCGTACGCGACTATAAATACCAAGGAAAATTTATTCTTCATCAATATTGTTTCTTTATCAAACTCAATATGTGTACTCGATTGTGTAACAATTCATCAATGCCACAACGCCGACTGGGCAAAAACGGTCCCAAAGTACCAGCCATCAGTTTTGGAGCAATGGGCTTATCATTTGGATATGGACCCGCGGGATCAGACGAAGAACGGTTCAAAGTCTTGGATCGCGTTATCGAACTTGGAAGTACTTATATTGACAGTTCGGATATCTACGGTGATAATGAAGATTTATTGGGAAAATATTTCAAGAAATATCCACAGCAACGGGATAAGGTTAACAGCAAAGTTAAAAGCGTCGAAATAGTTTTGTTCATTTACATTTTTAGGTATTTCTTGCAACGAAATTCGGTGGCGTATATTCGCCAGAAACGAAAACTTTTTCGATTCGTGGTGATAAACACTATGTTCACGAAGCTTGTGCGAAAAGTTTATCACGACTCGGTCTCAATACAATCGATCTTTATTACGTTCATCGTATTGATAAAACTGTTCCAATTGAAGAAACAATGGAAGCACTGAAAGAACTTGTACATCAAGGAAAAATCAAATATATTGGCTTATCGGAATGTTCAAGTGAAACACTACGACGCGCATATGCTGTTCATCCAGTTGCCTGTGTCCAGATTGAATACTCTCCATTCAGTTTAGACATCGAAAGAGACGAAATTGGTCTTTTGAAAACATGTCGAGCACTTGGTGTAGCTATTGTTTGCTATTCGCCATTAGGCCGCGGAATGTTAACTGGACAAATCAAAAGTCCCGATGATTTTGCAGCAGATGATTTCCGATGGATTTTACCACGGTTTTCCCAAGAAAATTTTTCCAAAAACCTCAAATTAGTTGATGCAATAGTAGCGATTGCAAAGAAGAAAGGTTGCACACCCGGTCAATTAACATTAGCATGGATTCTTGCGCAGGGAGAAGATTTTATCGTCATCCCGGGTACAAGCAAAATCAAAAATTTGGAAGAAAATGTCGCAGCTGTTCAAGTTCAATTGAACAAAGCAGATCGCGCCGAAATCCGAGAAGCTTGCGAAAAAGCCGATGTTATTGGGGACCGTTATCCGGCATTCGCCATGGACTCTCTCTTTAGTGACTCGGCTCCGAAAAAGAATTGAAAGAGTTTTAAAAATTTATTCTAATAAAATTAAGAAATATGTAGAATTGTTTGCATTAACGGTGCGATCTGATCAACGGCGTCCAATGTTTTCATTCGATTACCGAGAAATTCTCGAAATTGGTTCGCTGCNTATCGATTTCATTCTCACTCTCACCGACACAGATGTTTGTTTGATCACGTCAGGATCAGTTGGACAACGTCTTGTACCTTGTGTACATGATATTTCAAACATCGATTCGATCTTCATTTTCTCTGATGACCAAAATCAACACGAACAATGGGCCAAACACTGGTGCAAAGTGAAGAGTATTTCCATTGATATTATACATATTTGTGAACAATTAAAGAAAATCATTCGTCGATATGAACTCAATGCTATTCCTATGAGTTTTGTACAATCTGGTAAACGATTAGATCGACTAGAGCCATCATTTATGTACACGAAGATCATTAAAGAAATACTTTTAACAATTCAATTTCAGGATAAACACATCAAGCAATTCGTGGAGTATTGCTGTGAGAAATTCGTTGATACTGAAGTCGATCGAAAGAAAGTGAAAGAACTGGAAGACGAATATCATCAGCACACACCTATTTGGTGGTATATAACACAAAGATTTTTATACGGTATGCTGAATCGTGCATTACGAGTGATGGATGGTGAAGTGATCACATTGATGGGCTTTTTCATCAGTGACCTTCATCGACATATCGAAGCATTGCACAAACGACAGTTTGGTGATGCATTATCTACTGCTAAATGCTTTCTAGTTTACCGTGGTCAAGGTTTAACGAAGAAAGATTTTGATAAATTGATGGCAACGAAGGGTGGGCTGATGTCATTCAATAATTTCCTGTCTACCAGTAAGAATCGCAACGCTTCTCTTATGTTTACTCCTGTAAATCGACAGAACAGTGATGTGATCAGTGTTCTGTTTGTGATCACAATTGATCCAAAGCAATCAACAACGTCATTTGCCTCGGTTCGTCACATCAGTCAGTTTCCCGAAGAAGAAGAGGTACTCTTTTCGATGCACAGTATCTTTCGCATAAGAGATGTTAAGCCCATGGATGAAAACGAGAAAGTGTTTGAAGTGGCTTTGTCATTGACGAGTGATAATGACGAAGAATTAATGGTACTTACTGAACAAATTCGAGAAGAAACCTTTCCAAATACAGAGGGGTGGACACGACTGAGTCTAGTACTCACTGCCATATCACAGTCAGATATTGCTGAACGAATCTGTCGAGTTCTGATTGATGGAACGCCTTCTGAAGACTCTGCAAGCCATGTCTATAATAACCTGGGTAACATTAAATGCCAGAAAGGACAATATAAGGAGGCAATAACACTTTTTCAAAAATTTCTTAAACTCTCGTTGATGTCATCTTCTCCCAATCATCCAGATGTGGCTAGATCCTACAACAATATCGGTAATGCGTATTGTGATATGGGTGATTATCCGAAGGCACTTTCATCATATGACCAAGCTCTCAAAATTGAACTACAATCACTTCCTCCCAATCATCCACACGTGGCTCAATCCTACAGCAACATCGGTAGTGCGCATCGCAACATGGGTGATTATCCGAAGGCACTTTCATCATATGACCAAGCTCTCAAAATTCAACTATCATCACTTTCTCCCAATCATCCAGATGTGGCTTCATCCTACAACAACATCGGTACCGCGTATTCTGACATGGGTGATTATCCCGAGGCACTTTTATCACATGAACAAGCTCTCAAAATTCAACTACAATCACTTCCTCCCAATCATCCTAGTGTGGCTGAATCCTACAACAACATCGGTAATGCGTATTCTGACATGGGTGATCAAAGGACTGCTTTATTATTTTATACAAAAGCTGTTCAAATCGCCCAAGAAGTGTTACCATCGACACATTCTCACCTTCGAGTGATTAAAAGAAACTTGGAAAGAGCGAAACAGAAACTATAAGTTTTGCGTGTTGCCGTGGACGGAACCCTGTTTCGAGACGTTTTGCATTTGTTAATGAGCTTCGCCCGCTGAATTAGTTGTACAGTAATCGAAGATATGTGAATGGATCAGCGGGAAAGATATCAGGCGGGAGTGAAAATTTTGGGAAGTTTTTTTAGAATTGCTTCGTATCACGAAGACTATTTTTAGTTATATTTTCGATTGCTTCGTATACTTTGACAGAATGAACGATAATTTCGGACGTCACAAAAGAAAATCTATGTGTCAACATAGTTAACTCGTAAAAAACAAGTGACGTAGCAGTTGTACTATTCGGAGTTAATCAGCATGTTGCTTTTTGGAATAATTCTTTTCACGACGGTCGTTGAGATAAGTTTTAATGTCTCTGATTTCGACGACATGAGTTGTAAAATGCTTTATGTTTGTTGTGATAAAGATGTGTTGAATCGCGTTCAAATTACAGCTGCAAGAAGTTCTTATGATGTGTTTTATCATTAGTAAACCTGCTTTCATCAAATATATATCAATGCGCAAATCGAGTAAAGAGGAAACTAACTTTTCGTGAGTATACCGAAGATGTAGATTAAGTACACGAAAGTAGCGTCTACAACTGATCAAGTATAGTCTCTTTTGAAACAATGAAAAAGACCGAAATTCGGAAACTTTTCGAGGCCTTTCGGGAACGTCTAAAATCTACGATTATGATTTATGAAGTAGATCTCAATATCTGTATTTATTCTGTCATCTTCGCTGACATCCTTAGTTTCAATTCCGCATCCTAATGACGAAGAGAGTGATTAGCGTTGTGTCGGAGAGTTAAGCATGTTGCTAATCTAGACTATTAGGATAATAATCGTTTTTTGATCAATCAAATTATGGAAAACAGAACGAATTATAAAGACAATTTAGTAGCTGCTCGAGTCTCAGTGAGATTTGAAAGAACTTCAGTTAACTATCGATGATATTTAGTTTGAGTTCGTGAATACAGAAGAATTGTAATATTGGTTGTGAATTATTATGTCCAGTTGAAGAGGATGATGTGCAACAGTTCTTTGTCAACATGTTTTCAATTGCATTTGACAAAGTAGTGTCATCGAAACTCCTGCTAACTCTTTCTACAAGAACATTTTCGAAATCATCAGTATATTACACTGATGAAATTATGCATCAGCAACTGACGCTGTACGATTCTAATGTATTTTAGTGTTTATTGGCCTCTTTAACATTGGTTCATAGTGTGTTTATAGATATTTTAAATTTATCATCATTTATTTTAAATAAATTGTAGAGCGCAGTTAAACGTAAGTTACTATTCGCAGTAAATTTACCAAAAGGTGAATATCACAGTCATAGACTCGTCTAAATATCGTTCAAACATTCTAAACCTATACTTTCTTCACTGCATATTTCTGTGTCCATTGACTCGCTGTTTCTTCAAATTGCTTTCTATCCGTCTCACAGTATTTCAATGCTTCTCGATTCAGCCCATGATCAAGATTTGGATCGGTCAACAACGAACATATTGATAACAGTAGAGCACGGATACTGAACGCTGGAGACCACTGTGAATGAAGAATATCGAGACAGATCTCGCCTTTCGCGCTGATGTTTGGATGATAAATCGGTGTGGTGAACTGAACTTGTGGTGGCTTGAATGGGTAGTCTGGTGGGAAATCAATGACAAGATAGAATCTGCCACCGGCATAGGGAGTTTGTGGTGGTCCGTCGATGTAGCCCGTCCAATGTGTAATGTTGTTGTCTTGATCTTTGGGTTTGGCAAAGCATAGAGGGGCTGGATCTTTTTGAAGTTGATTGTACTGAATATGGAGTCGTTTGAGAAATGCCATACGTAAGAATTGTGTACTGACTTCAAAGAGAGGGCTATAAGATTTTAGTTTTCGTGAAAAAAATAAAATACTCTTTTATAACAAATTTTATTTAATGCAACTCACATTCATACTCGCGTATATATATACTTACGTATGTACAGGTGAAAGAAAGAAAGAAGGACTCGATGACATGCACACATTGGTTGGAAAAAACCTACTTGGAAGATTCCAACTTACATTGTTAAGAAAAATTCAGAGTATGGTAAAAAGCATTGTAAATATGTACTTAACTCAATTTCCATTATATTTTAACTCGAGAATATTCCAGTTACGAATTACGCACATGCTTGGAAAAAAAGAAGAACTTTGTAACATAGAAGCTATAAACATACTTTGCGTTGTTCTGTGCCGATACTTTACACTCTTCAGATACGAACAAACTTACCCAGGTATAAAGATAGCAATGTGTTGCTGATATAGAAAAAAAGAGAAAAGACCCATACCACTAAGATGTTATCAACAAATATCTTTATTTTTGTTTCGATGGTCGACAACGTAGCTGTTTCCTTCTCGATCAAATAATAATGCTATAGGTCCATTGAACTGATGAGTTTGCCGTCCTTCTCCATTTCCACCAAAGATCACTGTTCCGTGTTTCACGCCTGGGGACCAACACGCCACTCGATGATTCTCCAAGTCTGCTACGTAAACGCTCTTCAAGTGATCAACGAATATTCCGTGTGGATTCGGTGATCGTGACCACCAGCAACAGCCGCGCCTTACCTTGGCATCTTCAGACCATTTCATTACGCGATGATTATTATTATCTACGATGTAATTTGAATGATCTTGATCAACAAAATCAATAGTTATCTAATTTAGCTCACTAAAGCTAACGCCGTGGCATCCACCTGCAGCAATTTTTCTATATAAATCTCCCATTCTCCGTTGTCTTACTTCGTTTTTTTTCTACAGTCCGAAGTATACAGCACTCCAACTTCACCAGCGTCTGCATTCTTTGTTCATTTAGTAATGCGATCATTTTCCATGGTCAGCGATAGAAATCGTTTGGTCACCATCAATATAAATATTCTGAGGTCAAGATAGACAGTTATTCCCGATTGCTTCCATTTGGTATGCGCAAGTTATATTCATAATAGCATAAGAAAATCAATATATGTCCAGTTTGATAATGAATTTCATTGTTGTATATGTACAAAAAAAACAATATCTGGATAGTTTATCGATTTCACCAGTGTATATTCGAGCAAAAACAAGAGATATAGATGTCATGCGAGGATAGATCATCGTACGTCTATGAAAGATAAATACCAATCAACTGGAAATGGCGAATATTCAACGCGAAATCTGCTGATATCAAATGAATATGCATAGTTTTCACTGGTACTCCTTTGGATCGAATCCACGGTCATCTACGACGGATATTATCACATCAACGACTCGTGTTCATTCTTCTACACAATTTTGGCGTGATAAACATCTAATTATTGTATACTTGCGTGTATTTTTTGACATTACTGAGTTCACCCCCATTTTGTTTTCGTCACATAGCAAATATGCGTTCACCTTTCTATTTTTTACTTCATGTCGTACACGACTATAAATACCAATGAGAATTTAATTCTTCATCAATATTCTTTCTTTATCAAACTCAACATGTGTACTCGATTGTGTAACAATTTATCAATGCCACAACGCCGACTGGACAAAAATGGTCCCGAAGTACCAGCCATCAGTTTTGGAGCAATGGGCTTATCATAAAGAACGGTTCAAAGTCTTGGATCGTGTTATCGAACTTGAAAGTACTTATATTGACAGTTCGGATATCTACGATGATAATGAAGATTTATTGGGAAAATATTTCAAGAAATATCCACAGCAACGGTATAAGGTTAGCAGCAAAGTTAAAAGCGTCGAAATAGTTTTGTTCATTTAAATTTTTAGGTATATCTTGCAACGAAATTCGGTGGTGTATATTCGCCAGAAATGAAAACTTTTTCGATTCGTGGTGATAAACAATATGTTCACGAAGCTTGTGCGAAAAGTTTATCACGACTCGGTCTCGATACAATTGATCTTTATTACGTTCATCGCATTGATAAAACTGTTCCAATTGAAGAAACAATGGAAGCACTGAAAGAACTTGTGCATCAAGGAAAAATCAAATATATTGGCTTATCGGAATGTTCATGCGAGACACTGCGACGCGCATATGCTGTTCATCCAGTTGCCTGTGTCCAGATTGAATATTCACCATTCAGTTTAGATATCGAAAGAGATGAAATTGGCCTTTTGAAAACATGTCGAGAACTTGGCGTAACTATTGTTTGCTATTCTCCATTAGGCCGCGGAATGTTAACTGGACAAATCAAAAGTCCCGATGATTTTGCAGCAGATGATTTCCGACGGATCTTACCACGGTTTTCCCAAGAAAATTTTTCCAAAAATCTCAAATTAGTTGATGAAATAGTAGCGATTGCAAAGAAGGTTGCACATCAGGTCAATTAACATTAGCATGGATTCTTGCGCAGGGAGAAGATTTTATCGTCATCCCGGGTGCAAGCAAAATCAAAAATTTGGAAGAGAACGTCGCAGCTGTTCGAGTTCAATTGAACAAAGCAGAACTCGCCGAAATCCGAGAAGCTTGCAAAAAAGCCGATGTGATTGGGGACCGTTATCCGGCATTCGCCATGGACTCTCTCTTTAGTGACTCGGCTCCGAAAAAGAATTGAAAGAGTTTTGAAAATTTATTCTAATAAAATTAAGAAATATGTAGAATTGTTTGCATTAACGGTGCGATCTGATCAACGGCGTCCAATGTTTTCATTCGATTACCGAGAAATTCTCGAAATTGGTTCGCTGCTGACTGCGCCTGAAGGATCGCCGTCAGGAATCGTGTAAAATATGTGCACGCTTTACTTTCTCCATATTTTTCGATCAAATAGCCCCATAATAACTTTATGTAATACGACTGCACTCGATACACTGCTAATGAATCGTTGAGTATCGGTTCATTCTCGTTCATAGATAAACCTTTCGAGAAAAGAGAAATAACAAGAAGAAGGGATAAGAGAACTTCGTCTTGATTAATTATGGTTTTCAAGGTCACACCAACGTTGGTAACTGTTCGATAAATCAATTCTGATTGGTTGCATAATAGATACATCGATTGTTTGTCTTCATCGCTTTCGTTCCAATTTGAACGATCGTCGGTTTGTGTCATTATACAACAGGTTGAGATGCAGAGGAGTATAATCAGATTGTATTTTATCAGAACGAAACGGTCGTCGGCATGCAATTTTTCAAAATCATCAAGTGAACGGCAGAAACTGATGATTTGAAGTGCAATGTCATTATTGAGTTGCAAACAGTCGCTTAATTCGGATGTTTCAGCCGATACAGAATCAGATTCAGGATCATCTTCACAGTTGCTGATACTGGACAGGAATAGGGAATGAATGTTATTAACATTTGTCCAGTCTTGTTCAGTTAACACTTTATTAAAACTTGGCGATTTTTGCTTTTGAGTTATAAGTAAATCTTGTCTCATTCCTATAGCTAAGCAACGTTCTAATCGACATCGGTAGCATTTACGACTTTCTTTCACATCAATCACACAGCGACCATGATTATTTAGACATTTGAATCTTTTCTACACGAAAATGACTTATAGAAATGATTCGAACGAAAGTTTCGATCTCAAACGAACCAGATCATATTGACCATTTCGATGGAAAAAGGCTTTACACGATGCACAGGAAAGGACTGCGTAATTATATCCAATAGCACGATCACCACAGATCATACAAAGAAGATCCAATGATTTTTTTTTCGTTTTAACCGATTTCGTTGGATGAGAATCCGTTGTATCGATTGCACGTTTGGGAACTTGATCATTTCGAGCGTTGGCTTCCATCGTGGTGTTTTGTTGATCGGTAGGATCATTCAGAGGAACCATATAAGTGTTATTATCTCGGATGGAAGCGAATTGCCGAATAATATTCTCATCCGATGTTATAATTACCATTGTCGTTTGCTTGGCCATGTTTTTTGACAATTGACAGAAAAGTCAACTGGTAGTACTGCGTAGAAGTAATGATAATAAGATTTTTTACTTCGCATACTGGAAGGTAAGAAAACAGAACAGGTTGACTCATCTACCTGCGTATACGACAACAATCTAATAATAATTATAGATGGCACTGCTCTACGTGCGGTCTTCTGCTAGTTTTATTCGCCTTTAGTACTTGGTACAGATCTATATAGACTCAAGAAAAAAAGCAACTACTGTAGTTTTCTACATTGTCATTGATATCGCTTCTGTTTTATTTGCATCAAAAACATTGGATTCGCCGTCTTCATTGTAATTTGTATAATTGATTCCATCCACTTGACACCATCCGGTCTCTTCCATTTCTTCGCTTTACGAGCATAATTAATTAATCGTTTATCAGTTGAATACTTGTAAGGTGTATAGCAGTATCCTCCATCATCCTATAATATGCAAATATGGCTGTATCTAGTAGATCTTACCCAAGTTGTGCCCCAAGAATTACGAACGATAAATGTTTGGGAAGCATCACTGTATCCAACTAAAAGTAAAGCATGTCTAAACAGAGGCCTCGCATTTGTATTTATATTGATTTCTTTTCTGGGCGCAATTCATTTAGACTAGGCATAGAAGCAATACCTTAATTTTTTGTCGTATTGACAAATAACTTGAAGAGATTGGTGCCAAGAAAGTGTTCATTTCAGTTAAATCTACATCAACTTCCATTGCTTCGACAACCATGTGTTCTCCAGCACTATCATAACATTCAGGATCTGGTACGTTGTTCACTTTATCATCATAGTATCCCCATGCTTTCTGGACAAGCTCTCAACAGCAGGATCAATATTTGAACCATTGGTTGGGTTTTAAACCTTTGAATCGACTATATTATAGCAAATGAAAAGACGACTAATATGAATCTTTTCTCCTGTTGCCTTGTTNAATCACACAGCGACCATGATTGCTTAGACATTTGAATCTTTTCTACACGAAAGTGACTTCTAGAAATAATTCGAACGAAAGTTTCGATCTCAAACGAACCAGATCATATTGACCATTTCGATGGAAAAAGGCTTTACACGATGCACAGGAAAGGACTGCGTAATTATATCCAATAGCACGATCACCACAGATCGCACAAAGAAGATCCAGTGATTTTCTTTTCGTTTTAACAGATTTCGTTGGATGCGAATCCGTTGTATCGATTGCACGTTTGGGAACCTGATCATTTCGAGTGTTGGCTTTCATCGTGATGTTTTGCTCATCGGTAGGATCATTCAGAGGAACCATATAAGTGTTATTATCTCGGATGGAAGCGAATTGCCGAATAATATTCTCATCCGATGTTATAATTACCATTGTCGTTTGCTTGGCCATGTTTTTTGACAATTGACAGAAAAGTCAACTGGTAGTACTGCGTAGAAGTAACGATAATAAGATTTTTTACTTCGCATACTGGAAGGTAAGAAAACAGAACAGGTTGACTCATCTACCTGCGTATACGACAACGATCTAATAATAATTATAGATGGCACTGCTCTACGTGCAGTCTTCTGCTAGTTTTATTCGCCTTTAGTACTTGGTACAGATCTATATAGACTCAAGAAAAAAAGCAACTACTTTAGTTTTCTACATTGTCATTGATATAGTTTCTGTTTTATTTGCATCAAAAACATTGGATTCGCCATCTTCATTGTAATTTGTATAATTGATTCCATCCACTTGACACCATCCGGTCTCTTCCATTTCTTCGCTTTACGAGCATAATTAATTAATCCTTTATCAGTTGAATACTTGTAGGGTGTATAGCAGTATCCTCCATCACCCTATAATATGCAAATATGACTGTGTCTAGTAGATCTTACCCAGTTTGTGCCCCAAGAATTACGAACGATAAATATTTGGGAAACATCACTGTATCCAACTAAAAGTAAAGCATGTCTAAACAGAAGCCTCGTATTTGTAATTATATTGATTTCTTTTCTGGGCGCAATTCATTTAGACTAGGCATAAAAGCAATACATTAATTTTTTTGTCGTATTGACAAACAACTTGAAGAGATTGATGCCAAGAAAGTGTTCATTTCAGTTAAATCCTCATCAACTTCCATTGCTTCGACAATCATGTGTTCTCCAGCACTAGCATATCATTCAGGATCTGGTACGTCGTTCACTTTATCATCGTAGCATCTGCCATGCTTTCTGGACAAGCTCTCAATAGCAGGATCAATATTTGAACCATTGGTTGGGTTTTAAACCTTTGAATCGACTATATTATAGTAAATGAAAAGACGGCTAACATGAATCTTTTCTCCTGTTGCCTTGTTATACAAATATTCGTATGCACCAGCGATAGCATTTGCCGTACTAAAAGTCAGATACAACGGACATGTATGCGTTTAATATTCCCTCATCAGTTTCGTTGTGAACCAAATCAACTTTTTCTATTGTTTCCGTCTTGGTTTCAGCTACAGATATCGTCGTCGCATACTGAGTTCCTGAGTATTCCACGATAAAATGAAATCACATTGTTTGTTGTTTGACTTAATCCGCGAAAGACAAAATTTGTTTTTTTTCTACAAACATTCGATAACGGACGAAAAACATTGCGAAGTAACGAAAAAAAGTCAATTCTAATACTGGTTGTTTTTTAAGTTAGATCATCAAATCTGTTGAAACATCACTAATAGAGTACGAAAAAAATGAACGGACGACTCTTATTATCAGTCAATTATATTTTCAATCAATAACATAGGATTCAATCATTACCGATACTATCATAAGAAATACAGCGAGAGTACGGTATTCATTAAATATGCTTTTTAAACATTCGAGATATACGCTTAGCCTAGATTTATCATTATTATCTTCGAATCAAACGAACAAACGTCGTATAGTGGAAAGATTATTGAATTATTAATGACCTTGCTGTTTTCTTCTGTTCACCAGCAAATGGTAGTTATGTTCGATCCAATGAAAAACAAATGTGCAATATGGAGATGTGATCGAACTGCATCAAAAAAATCTGATTGATACTTTCTATTTGATAAGTAATATTAATGACTTAAACAAGAAATAGAAACGTAAAGTCGATATATCGAACATTTCAAATCTCTCTTTCTTGACGAATACACTCGTATTTAAAAATAGTCGAAGGCGTCATCCTTGTCGAATCATTGTAGTGTATAAAACCCGAAAATGATGTTTTCCACATGTCTTAATTAATATTTGATTATAATTCCGCGAGAAATATTTACATATATAAAACAAAATAACCTTCACTAATTACACTAAAAAACCACGCTTTTTTACCTGTACATTACAAACACATCTATGAACAAATCATGCGGAACATCTGTTTACATATTTTTCATATTACCAACGAGTATGACTTTTTATAGTCACTTCCGTTGTATATTTCTCCTATAAACGACGAACGCATACAAAATCTACACGTCTTTGTCTTTTTTTCATCACTGATATTACTCAGCGTTGTGCACGTAGTGTTACAGTTGTTTTGAAAATATTCTACTCGGTTTAATATCTAAACAAATATGGGAGGAGTCTCAAGTTCGTATTGAAATTGAATTGAACCATCAGAATCTATTTTGACAATCCATTAGGTTATCCTGGTCGTCCTGGTCCTATTGGTCGTCTACAGACCTCTTCTGGTAGGAATGTTAACATAAATGGTCAACCATATTTCTGCGAGAAACGTTTGGGTTCTGGTGGCTTTGGTACTGTATAAATCTGAAGATTTATAGAAAACAACGATATATTTTCTTCTTTAATCTGACAAAATAGGTGCTGTGTATCAGTCAAGAGCACCAAATGGAACACCGGTTGCTCTAAAAGTAACAAGATTATCGGGCGTAGGACGTGCACAAATGGAAGGTCGTGTCGATGCTTTTTTAAATGAAGTCGGCCAATTGAATCGATTACGACGAGAAACACGTCACGTGGTTATTATTCATGATTTTGCTTTTGACCCTCGCCTCGGAGAAGGTACGATTTTTTCGATCGTTTTTACTGAAGAATTCCACTTTTTATTCATTCATCTCAGCCTATATCGTCATGGAGTTAGGTAATGAGAATCTAACGACACTGATTGATCGACTACGTCAGATGACTGGTACAGGCGGTGGAGCTATTGACGGAGAGATGATTCACGCATTTTGGCAACAAATGGTTAGTATTGTTGGCACACTACATAAGAATCGAATTGTTCACATGGATTTGAAACCAGACAATTTTATTTTATTTGGCACAACGCTCAAAATTGCTGATTTAGGTATTGCTAGGAAAACGAGTGCTTTAGGGTAATTGATGAACATTATTGAAATTGTATAACAGTTCTTTTATTTCTGTTAGTTACGGTCGACTTGGTACCGAAGGCTTTAGGTAAGTCGTCATTGTATCGATGAAAAACAAAGAAGTTGAATTTTGTTTTTCAAAAGTGCACCAGAAGTCATGCGTGATATTCCTGGCGCTCCACGTTACTATACACCGAAAGCAGATATCTGGTCATTAGGAGCTATTCTTTATTATATGGTCTATGGAACCGTACCCGGATATCATCCAGCAGCTGCTAACCCGCCACATCGGCAACGACCCTATCCAGATCATCTTTTGGTTTCGATGCTTCGTCGTACTTTGGTATTTCATCCAAATCAAAGAGCTGATATACGCGAAGTAGCAAATCATCCATTTACTCGACAACAATGAAAATATCTTGATTGTTGTTGTATTTTCGTGATCTGACCAGCAATTTTTCTTCATTTTCGTAAATTATCGATTGATGGAGACAGTTTTGCTACGCATATAAATAAAAAAAAAAGGTTACGAAAATCGCAAAGAATGATTCGTCAAACGATTGTCCAAACAGACAAAGAAGAAAAACAGTGAAACTTAAGTTGCTCTTTTTATTCATAAACAAATCTGCTTTCAAAATTATCAGTGTGCATAAAAATAAAAACATTAACATATTTTACATTCTTCATGAGTTATGCTTGCTTCGACGCATATTTCTGTGTCCATTGACTTGCTGTTTCTTCAAATTGCTTCCTATCCATCTCACAGCATTTCAATGCTTCTCGATTCAGTCCATGATCAAGATTTGGATCGGTCAATAACGAACATATTGATAACAGTAGAGCACGGATACTGAGCGCAGGAGACCACTGTGAATGAAGAATATCGAGACAGATCTCGCCTTTCGCGCTGATGTTTGGATGATAGATCGGTGTGGTGAACTGAACTCGTGGTGCCTTGAATGGATAGTCTGGTGGGAAATCAATGACAAGATAGAATCTGCCACCGGCATAGGGAGTTTGTGGTGGTCCGTCGATGTAGCCCGTCCAATGTGTAATGTCGTTGTCTTGATCTTTGGGTTTGGCAAAGCATAGAGGGGCTGGATCTTTTTGAAGTTGATTGTACTGAATAAGGAGTCGTTTGAGAAATGCCATGTGTTATTAAAAACAGATTATAATTTAAAACTTAAAGTACTACCAGTGATGAAAAAAAAAACAATACTGACCAAAAACGTGCGCGCATGTCGTTTATATAGTGAAGGAAAGGAAAAAGCCTGACAGTGCAGTGGGAAAAAATGCGTGCGTGTTTGTCATACTTTATGTAGTAAACGGTAAACATACTGTCATGCATCATTCGCGATTAGAGTTGCGTTCTTCCTTTCTTCTTTCTTCGTCATTGGAAAATTCTTTCACGTAATATGACGAAACTGATATCTGATTATGTAACTGAACGTAAGAAAACGCTGCATCTTGCCTGAAATTTACATTCTCAACATGTAACTATCATATCACAAGTATTCAAAGTAGTTCATGACGAATGACAAAAGACCTCGCCTCAAAACAATGACAGAGCATATCTCTGATAACAGACATAAAGTAAAAAATGCATTTTAAACAACACAGAGTCCATGATGAAAGCTATCCGATTAGATTTCTGCATCTTTTTCATTGCAACAATGGTAACATTAGTCTCGTCGTTGAATTGTTCTATTTGTTCATTACGTGCGTTTGATTATTATATAACACCTGACAAAATTCCCGATTTTTCATACTGTACAACAAATATAACTACACAAAAGTTTTGCTCGCTGAACTTTTACTCAGATGACAATCGTAAGACAAGCAAATTACATGCCTATCCAAACGATGGTGTTGAACATGCCAGCGTTCCTTATATACTAGCTGGATTCGATGTACCCAAGGATTTCAACGGTAATTTCGGTATGGGTCTTCTATATCAATGCTTGACAGACAATTGTAATCATCCACAAACAATTCTGAAACGAATACTACAAGCAACAACGATTGAAACATACCAACCTGCTCTGTTACTTTCTTCATCTGAGGCGCCCACGTGCTTTACATATAATAATTTTACAAGTATCGATAGTTGCCGTCCGTCGCTTCGTAGAGATCAGTCATCACGTTCGAATGATAGTTGTTCAACGTATTGTGTGACGTCTATTCGAATTGATGCAACTGATTTGAAGACTGAGAGATTGTGCGCGTGTTGTGAACAACAACCAATGGAACGATTTACGTATGTTGATGAAAGAGTGTTCTTACTGAACGAACGAACAAGTCGTTTACAACAACTGGAATTCGTTTGTAACTCGAGTAGTCATTGCAATTCATTAGAAAACATACGAAAAATTCAACAGCAATACAAAATTGAATTCGATTTCGACAAATTCGATGGGAAAAGTGCTGCAACAATGTTAAGTACATCTATCCTTGGATGTTTTCTACTCTTTTATATAGTAGATATCACACGTGTAACTGTGTTGTAATAAAAGCTCTTTTTAAATCAAAAAATCAAGTTCAACTGATGCATTATCATAAAGTCTCATCCAGTCTTGTGAGCAAAATTCCTGTTCATTCATATATTGGCAGAACTTCCATATCCATTCTTCCTTTTTCATTGATTCATATTGCTTAACAAATTGAACAATAAATTTTCTATTTCGATAATCCAAGTTTAATAACCATTGCTGTCCATCTCGGGTAAATAATGTTACACTTTGTTGATGAACACTAGCTTCACCCCACAAAACGAACCGATACGCATTTAACGAAGGACTTTGTCTCATATCATACATTGGAATAAGTGAATTCTGTTCGATATATACTGGTATACGGTACAAACTGCTGGTATCTTCTTCAATAAAAGTTTCCGATGAATATGTCTTTGATGTATTGAAGTAATTTATCCATTGGTTTGTTGAACTTTTTGGCAACCATACACGTTGGACTTGGCCAGGAGACGGGTCTTGCGTAACCGGTACAACGTAGATATTTGGCCCGAGAAAATAGGATTGAGATGATCCTGCTTGAGTATCATCGCATGGTTTCATCAATGTACCGTTTCGACCGATCGCTACTATTGTACCTTGAGAATAGAGATAAGGTATCAATTGATAGTGAATATTCACCCACGAGCGATAAACATCTACTGTTTCATTATCGAATTTCCAAGGGCGATGTTCTCCTGTGCCACCATTTTCCATAAATGAACTTAACGCACCAACAGCAGTCCAACGCAGAAAAACTTGTTTTGTCCGACCCAAGGGACCAGAACTATTATCAAAACGATAGCCACCGATATCAGAACCAAATCCGACGTAATTCTTACGGCCACTTTCGAGCATATAACGAAGTGCTGTTTGTAATCCCTCATAAGTGGCATCTTCATCACCCACCCAACCCATAAAAACAACATCTTTCGGAGAAAATTCTTCATCATGATCGATCGGACGGGACATGATTAGCGCTTCAGGACCGATTAATTGTCGTAGAATTTGAAATGTATCATTATAATACGCAGTTCGATACTGTTTCCACGTCACGCTCGAATCGTTCACTTGAATGATATATGGATCACTACCATCAGCCTAAACAACCTCAAAATGATTACCATCAAAGACTTATTCCACGAAGAGACATATACTTTGAATGCATGGATGGGTCCAACCGTATCTACTAGTGTTTTGATTTGACTGTGCCACCAATCTACAGCTTGAGGATTAAAGTAATTCAACAAACGTCCATCACCGTGCCACCAATGGAGTGTTTTGTTGAACAAAAATCCATGCTCTTGCGCGTAGGAATAATGCGGCGAATCAATGTTAATGAATGAAGTCATCCACAAGATAATATGAGTGTTTTTCGCTCGAAATTCGTCAAACATTTGACGTATGGATGGAAATTTCTTTCGATCGAATATAAATGTATTGAAATTCGTCGACCAATGTGAATCAATATTAATTGCACCGAACGGAATTTGATAGTGATTGTAAGTATCGTACATTGTTTGAATATTCGTTTGATTTGAACGGTCCGATGATAACCAAATCATATGATAATGAGCCCATTCCGCATAGGGTAATGTCGTCGAAGNATGAAAAGACGACTAATATGAATCTTTTCTCCTGTTGCCTTGTTATACAAATATTCGTATGCACCAGCGATAGCATTTGCCGTACTAAAAGTCAGATACAACGGACATGTATGCGTTTAATATTCCCTCATCAGTTTCGTTGTGAACCAAATCAACTTTTTCTATTGTTTCCGTCTTGCTTTCAGCTACAGATATCGTCGTCGCATACTGAGTTCCTGAGTATTCCACGATTAAATGAAATCACATTGTTTGCTGTTTGACTTAATCCGCGAAAGACAAAATTTGTTTTTTTCTACAAACATTCGATAACGGACGAAAAACATTGCGAAGTAACGAAAAAAAGTCAATGCTAATACTGGTTGTTTTTTAAGTTAGATCATCAAATCTGTTGAAACATCAATAATGAGTGCGAAAAAATGAACGGACGACTCTTATTATTAGTCAATTATATTGTCAATCAATAACATAGGATTCAATCATTACCGATACAGTCATAAGAAATACAACGAGAGTACGGTATTCATTAAATATGCTTTTTAAACATTCGAGATATATGATTAGCCTAGTTTTATCATTATCATCTTCGAATCAAACAAACAAACAGCGTATAGTGGAAAGATTATTGAATTATTAATGACCTTGTTGTTTTCTTCTGTTCACCACCAAACGGAAGTTATGTTCGGTCCAATGAAAAACAAATGTGCAATACGGAGACGTGATCAAACTCCATCAAAAAAATTTGATTGACACTTTCTATTTGATAAGTAACGTTAATGACTTAAACAGGAAACATAAAAGTAAAGTCGATATATCGAACATATCAAATCTCTCTTTCTCGATGGACACATTTCGTATTTAAAAATAGTCGAAAGTGTCATCCTTGTCGAATCATTGTAGTGTATAAAACCCGCAAATGATGTTTTCCACATGTCTTAATTAATATTTGATTATAATTCCGCGAGAAATATTTACATATATAAAGCAAAATAACCTTCGTTAATTACACTAAAAAAACATGCTTTTTACCTGTACATTACAAACACATCTATGAACAAGTCATGCGGAACATCTGTTTACATATTTTTCATATTACCAACGAGTATGACTTTTTTTATAGTCACTTCCGTTGCATATTTCTTCTATAAACGACGAACGCGTACAAAATCTACACGTCTTTGTTTTTTTTCTCATCACTGATATTACTCAGCGTTGTGCACATAGTGTTACAGCCGTTTTGAAAATATTCTACTCGGTTTAATATCTAAACAAATATGGGAGGAGTCTCAAGTTCGTATTTAAACTGAATTGTACCATCAAAATCTATTTCGACAATCCATTAGGTTATCCTGGTCGTCCTGGGCCTATTGGTCATCTACAGACCTCTTCTGGTAGGAATGTTAATATAAATGGTCGACCATATTTCTGCGAGAAACGTTTGGGTTCTGGTGGCTTTGGTACTGTATAGATCTGAAGATTTATAGAAAACAATGATATATTTTCTTCTTTAATCTGACAAAATAGGTGCTGTGTATCGATCAAGAGCACCAAATGGAACGCCAGTTGCTGTAAAAGTAACAAGATTATCGGGCACAGGACGTGCACAAATGGAAGGTCGTGTCGAAGCTTTTTTAAATGAAGTCGGTCAATTGAATCGATTACGACGAGAAACACGACACGTGGTTGTTATTCATGATTTTGCTTTTGACCCTCGACTTGGAGAAGGTACGATTTTTTCGATCGTTTTTACTGAAGAATTCTGCTTTTTATTCATTTGTCTCAGCCTATATCGTCATGGAGTTAGGTAATGAGAATCTAACGACACTGATTGATCGACTACGTCAGATGACTGGTACAGGCGGTGGAGCTATTGATGGAGAGATGATTCACGCATTTTGGCAACAAATGGTTAGTATTGTTGGCACACTACACAAGAATCGAATTGTTCACATGGATTTGAAACCAGACAATTTTATTTTATTTGGCACAACGCTCAAAATTGCTGATTTAGGTATTGCTAGGAAAACGAGCGCTTTAGGGTAATTGATGAACATTATTGAAATTGTATAACAGTTCTTTTATTTCTGATAGTTACGGTCGACTTGGTACCGAAGGCTTTAGGTAAGTCGTCATTGTATCGATGAAAAACAAAGAAATTGAATTTTGTTTTTCAAAAGTGCACCAGAAGTCATGCGTGATATTCCTGGCGCTCCACGTTACTATACACCGAAAGCAGATATTTGGTCATTAGGAGCTATTCTTTATTATATGGTCTATGGAGCCGTACCTGGATATCATCCAGCAGCTGCTAATCCACCCTATCGACAACGACCCTATCCAGATCACCTTTTGGTTTCGATGCTTCGTCGTACTTTGGTATTTCATCCAAATCACAGAGCTGATATACACGAAGTAGCAAATCATCCATTTACTCGACAATAAGAAAAATATCTTGATTGTTCTTGTATTTTCGTAATCTGACCAGCAATTTTTCTTCATTTTCGTAAATTATTGATTAATGGAGACAGTTTTGTTACGCATATAAATAAAAAAGGCTACGAAAATCGCAAAGAATGATATGTCAAACGATTCTTTAAACAGAGAGAGAAGAAATACAATGAAACTTAAGTTACTCTTTTTATTCATAAAAAAATATGCTTTCAAAATTATCAGTATACATACGAATAAAAACATTAACAGACTTTACATTCTTTAGGAGTTACACTTGCTTCGCCGCATATTTCTGTGTCCATTGACTTGCTGTTTCTTCAAATTGCTTTCTATCCGTCTCACAGCATTTCAATGCTTCTCGATTCAGTCCATGATCAAGATTTGGATCGGTCAATAACGAACATATTGATAACAGTAGAGCACGGATACTGAATGCAGGAGACCACTGTGAATGGAGAATATCAAGACAGATCTCGCCTTTCTTGCTAATGTTTGGATGATAAATCGGTGTGGTGAACTGAACTTGTGGTGGCTTGAATGGATAGTCGGGTGGGAAATCAATGACAAGATAGAATCTGCCACCGGCATAGGGAGTTTGTGGTGGTCCGTCGATGTAGCCAGTCCAATGTGTAATGTCGTTGTCTTGATCTTTGGGTTTGGCAAAGCAGAGAGGGGCTGGATCTTTTTGAAGTTGACTGTACTGAATAAGGAGTCGTTTGAGAAGTGCCATGTGTTATTCAAAACAAAGTATAATTTAAAATTTAAAGTATTAACAGTGATGAAAAAAAAACAATGCTTGCCAAAAATGTGCGTGCATAGTATTTATATAGTGAAGGAAAGGAAAAAACCTGACAGTGTAGTGGGAAAAAATGCGTGCGTGTTTGTCATATTTTATCCAATAAACGGTAAACATAATGTCATGCATCATTCACGATTAGAGTTGCGTTCTTCCTTTCTTCTTTCTTCGTCATTGGAAGATTCTTTCACGTAATATGACGAAACTGGTATCTGATTGTGTAACTGAACGGAAGAAAACGCTGCGTCTTGCCTGAAATTTACATTCTCAACATGTCACTATCATATCACAAATATTCAAAGTAGATCATGACGAATGACAAAAGACCTCGTCTCAAAACAATGACAGAGCATATCTCTGATAACAGACATAAAGTAAAAAATGCATTTTAAACAACAAAGCGTCCATGATGAAAGTTATCCGATTAGATTTCTGCGTCTTTTTCATTGCAACAACGGTAACTTTAGTCTCGTCATTGAATTGTTCTAGTTGTTCATTACGTGTGTTTGATTATTATATAACACCTGACAAAATTCCCGATTTTTCATACTGTACAACAAATATAACTACACAAAAGTTTTGTTCGCTGAACTTTTACTCAGATGACAATCGTAAGACAAGCAAATTACGTGCCTATCCAAACGATGGTATTGAACATGTCAGCGTTCCTTATATACTAGCTGGATTCGATGTGCCCAAGGATTTCAACGGTAATTTCGGTATGGGTCTTCTATATCAATGCTTGACAGATAATTGTAATCATCCACAAACAATTCTGAAACGAATACTACAAGCAACAACGATTGAAACATACCAACCTGTTCCATTACTTTCATCATCCGAGCCTCCCACGTGCTTTACATATAATAATTTTACAAGTATCGATATTTGCCGTCCGTCGTTTCGTAGAGACCAGTCATCACGTTCAAATGATAGTTGTTCAACGTATTGTGTAACGTCTATTCGAATTGATGCAACTGATTTGAAGACTGAAAGATTGTGCGCGTATTGTGAACAACAACCAATGGAACGATTTACGTATATTGATGAAAGAGTGTTCTTACTGAACGAACGAACAAGTCGTTTACAACAACTGGAATTCGTTTGTAATTCGAGTAGTTATTGCAATTCATTAGAAAACATACGAAAAATTCAACAGCAATACAAAATCGAATTCGATTTCGACAAATTCGATGAGAAAAGCGCTGCAACAATGTTAAGTACATCTATCCTTGGATATTTTCTACTCTTTTATATAGTAGATATCACACGTGTAATTGTATTGTAATAAAAGCTCATTTTAAATCAAAAAATCAAGTTCAACTGATGCATTATCATAAAGCCTCATCCAGTCTTGTGAGCAAAAGTCTTGTTCATTCACATATTGGCAGAACTTCCATATCCACTCTTCCTTTGTAATTGATTCATATTGCTTAATAAATTGAACGATAAATTTTCTATTGCGATAATCCAATTTTAACAACCATTGCTGCCCATCTCGGGTAAATAATGTTGCACTTTGTTGATGAACACTAGCTTCACCCCACAGAACGAACCGATACGCATTTAACGACGAACTTTGTCTCATATCATACATTGGAATAAGTGAATTCTGTTCGATATACACTGGTATACGGTACAAACTGCTGGTATCTTCCTCAATAAAAGTTTCCGATGAATATGTCTTTGATGTATTGAAGTAATTTATCCATTGGTTTGTTGAACTTTTTGGCAACCATACACGTTGAACTTGACCAGGAGACGGGTCTCGCGTAACCGGTACAACGTAGATATTTGGTCCGAGAAAATAGGATTGAGACGATCCTGCTTGAGTATCATCGCATGGCTTCATCAATGTACCGTTTCGGCCGATCGTTACTATTGTACCTTGAGAATAGAGATAAGGTATCAATTGATAGTGAATATTCACCCACGAGCGATAAATATCTACTGTTTCATTATCGAAATTCCAAGGACGATGTTCTCCTGTGCCACCATTTTCCATAAATGAACTTAGCGCACCAACAGCTGTCCAACGGAGAAAAACTTGTTTTGTTCGACCCAATGGACCAGAACTATTATCAAAACGATAGCCACCGATATCAGAACCAAATCCAACGTAATTCTTACGACCACTTTCGAGCATATAACGAAGTGCTGTTTGTAATCCCTCATAAGTAGCATCTTCATCACCCACCCAACCCATAAAAACAACATCTTTCGGAGAAAATTCTTCGTCATGATCAATCGGACGCGACATGATTAACGCTTCAGGACCGATTAATTGTCGTAGAATTTGAAATGTATCATTATAATACGCAGTTCGATACTGTTTCCACGTCACACTCGAATCGTTCACTTGAATGATATATGGATCGCTACCATCAGCCTAAACAATCTCAAAATGATTACCATCAAAGACTTATTCCATAAATAGACATATACTTTGAATGCATGGATGGGTCCAACCGTATCTACTAGTATTTTGATTTGACTATGCCACCAATCTACAGCTTGAGGATTAAAGTAATTCAACAAACGTCCATTACCGTGCCACCAATGAAGTGTTTTGTTGAACAAAAATCCATGCTCTTGCGCGTAGGAATAATTCGGTGAATCAATGTTAATGAATGAAGTCATCCACAAGATAATGTGAGTGTTTTTTGCTCGAAATTCGTCGAGCATTTGACGTATGGATGGAAATTTCTTTCGATCAAATACAAATGTATTGAAATTTGTCGACCAATGTGAATCAATATTAACTGCACCAAACGGAATTTGATAGCGATTGTAAGTATCGTACATTGTTTGAATATTCGTTTGATTTGAACGGTCCGATGATAACCAAATCATATGATAATGAGCCCATTCCGCATAGGGTAATGTCGTCGAAGAGATAACCAACGGACAACAAAGAAGAATCAGTAAAACGAACATTCTCGCTGATGAAATGTGAAAAGAACGCAGATCTTTTCTATACAAAGATAACGATCAGACTTGTTTACATCGAGATATTCTTTTTCTTTTCTTTTCCTTTGAATCTTAAACGCATCGAGGTTGAAAATATCTGATTGGCTATAGTGTGCAGAATCTATGTAAATAGACTAATTCGAACATTTGAACGAGAAACAAACATTGTTGTTACGACGGTTCTACGACATTACCGCGCATGACATTTCGGCGCGTAGTGTATAAACGACACTTTCGCGGCGCCCTCACCCTCATTTTGCACATGCGCTGTAATGTCGCGCGCGGAAATATCGTGTCACGTGTCCTCCGACGACAACTAACACAGAAATATTGCTCGGCATCACCAGTGTTACAGTTGGAGAATAAGCTAATCCAAATGTCGCGATTTCGCCTGCTGTACCAGTTTGTTTCGTTTCTTCGTCGACTTGAATGACATTTGGATCAGTATCGTTGATATTATAGAATAGATACTGACGTGTATGATTCAATCGATTTGTCGTGAGATAGCCGATAGGTAGTGATTGTTGACTAAACTTTGGATCAAGTTGTGTAGGATAGGATAGAGTCACAACTGCAGTTGTCCCTATTGGATTTGGTAAATGCAACCAACTGGTAGCAATGAAACCACGAACGTATCGATTATATGCAGATTGAGAAACTATTTTCCATGAAATCAATGTTCCAAGTGAATGACCGACGAGTACAATATCTACGAATTGAACATTTTGAGACATTCCATTATGTAGATTTGTTATTAATTGAGAAATAACATTGGCATTTGCATCGACGGTTATGTCAGTGGCCAGGGGCTTTGAACTTAAACCAATTCCAATTCGATCGATATTCAAAATAACAATATCTCCACCACTATTCTCAATGACATAGTTAACATATGAATAATTCGGTGATTGATAAGGAAATGTCCAGTACGTGTGATCGTAGGTATAACCATGAATTGTCAGATGTACTGTTTTATGACTATTCAATTGAATACCTTGTTTCGGGCAAAACCATGTAGCAATTGATTCATTATTCTATGTATTAGATAAGAGGATGTTCGGAAGGTGAACAGTGACATTTTTCTGTTCACAATCAACATCTGCATTGATAGAGAATATACATAAGCGAATGATCAAAAATACGAATATCCATACTTGCGACATCGTATGTGTTTGTTTTAGTTGGAAATAAATTACGTGTGTCATGATCAATACTAAACAAACTTTTGGGCTACGTGGGCGTCATATTGTAACGATAGTTATAGATTTTTCGGTCTAATATCATTTATCAGAAAGTTTAGCTGAGGGAACGAGATACACGTTTGAAACTTCTTCCGCTGTAAATAAAAAAATGTCAATACCTGTATTAACAGTAATTTTTCTTTTGTGATATATTCACACATTGATTTTTCATCATATTCATGCGATAACTATAGTCCCCACTCGCGAATATTGACTAGTGTTTATCATCATCGAGTGTTAATTTGTTTACATATGTAAAAGAGATGAAATAAAACTTAAATTCGATTCTCTCTGAAGCTGAAATGATTCATTTTGTTTTCGGACTCAACTACAAATGTTCAAGAAGATTCTAAAGGCGTTTACCTACGCATCATGTAGTCACTTGAATATAGGATTGATAGAGATACGAATAGCAAATTAAAACTAGATAAAAAGTGTTCAATTTGATTATTATTTATTTAAATGCTCGAAAAACAATGGGATGTGATGATCCTCATTCTGAATTTTGTTTTCATAGTGCAACTGATACACGATCTGAGAATATTTCCAATCAAGAATTATTAACGATTAGCATATTCAATTATTAGTTTAAACGTTCAATCCTTGTGATCCAGAAAAAGTGGACATTTTCCTATATGAAGACTTTTTTGCATATACAAATGATTTAATTCTTGTTTGCTATAAACCCTGAAAAGTATCGAATCAATCATACCGACAGTCAAAATGATTTGGGATGCTGCTGCATATACCGTGGCATTTTTTCAGATCATGTCTTCCAAGTCAGTTGATGTTATCAATCGTTCTGTGAACTTCACTGTCGTTTTCTTCAGTAGTTGTTTTAAAAAATGTATAGAAATGTTAATCACGTGTTTCACTAACGTATTATAACACACATTTTTGTCATTCTCTTTGTTCAAAGAACACGATTTTCACGAAACACTATCATTTGATCCATTCGATGTATCCCGATTACGACGAATGCCGCAGCAAGTGTTGTATCTCGATGATGCAATCGAAAAGGTAAACAGCGCACATCGCCACTAATGACATACGTAGTTTACGTCAATATACTCTCTTTTTCGTTCTGTTCCTACATATACGAAACATCTTTCTTGAGATCTTATCTTCTTTTGTAGTGAAAGATTGCTTCGATAGAGATGACTAGCAAAGTTATATCTGTTGACATCGAACATTTTTGTATGCTGAAAAACTATACGAATTGTAAGCAAAAACATATTTGAAATTGAAATACCAGCAAGTTCTCTGATTGAAATCAGTTTGTGCCAACAAAATTCACATACAGCATTGCACCCCCGACTATCATCCCCTTCAAAAGGTAAAGATGATCGTAGATATTATAAAAGTTGAGTACACAACGAAAAGGCATAGATAAACTCACTTTTCTATAAGTATAAGTAATCAAACATGGTATTCTGTTTGTTTTGAGAATAAAAGAGACTTTCATATCATCTTGGTATTCTTTTGCTCAAAGATTTACTCATGGAAGCTGTACAAGACCCTGTTTGTAAGCAAGAATCCGTCGCAAATGATGATTTCATTATCGAAGTATTACGTTCAGAAGAGAATGCTTATGCATGTGCAAGATTGATCGCTGAAGCATTTGCAAAGTCGAATCCCATGACTGTTTTCAAAGGAATATCAGCCGAAGTGCATTTCGAAAAGATTGCATTACCATTGGCTTTATCTGTGCTTAATCAAGAACTTTCATTACTTGTTCGGAAACATTCCACTGATGAAATCATTGGATGTATTTTGTCTACAGATCTGTATCTTAAATCGATTTGTTCCATGACAAACACAACCGGCATTGCACATGAAGATTTAATTGCTGATCTCGACAGAATGAGTTATGAATATTTCAATGCGACAGAGCAACTAACTCGAAATTCAGTAATACATTTTCTGTTACACGCAACGAAAATAGGCGAAGAAGGTAACGGTGTGGGTAGTTATTTAATACGCGAGACTTGTAAATATGCTCGCGAGATTAAAGGTTTCAAATATGCACACGCACAGACAACAAATCCCGCTATGAAACATATTTACGATAAAATAGGTGGTGAAGTAATATCGCAAATTGATCCTGCTACTTGGATGTGGAAAAACTGTGGCAATTCTGATGAATATCCTTTCAAAACATGGACTGCTGGACCTATGCCGAACATATGCGTTAAATTATAACTCGGAGTTGTAACACGACTTAAAAAATAAAAGAAACATAATTACTCTTACTAATAACCTCGTAATCTTTTGAACCATCTGACAACATATGTTATTGACAGTGGAATTGTTTATTTCTAATTACTAAATACAACATTCATAGCTAGAATAATGTTTAGATCAATTTCAGTTTAGAACTCTCCAACAGCAGTATTGAGTCTTGCTGTTGCTACTGGTAACGCAGATTTCCGACGATCAGAATGGCCATACTGAGTAATACAAGGTGGTTTTATTGTCAGCGTATGAATGGCGTTCTTTTCGTGAGATTTGATTTTGAACATTCGAAAAAGTTTCTCTCGATAAACACCACCAGAAAGGGTGTAGAGAAAGAATGGAACAAAGTAATCACATTGCTGCCATGCGACAAATATTAATCGAATCCCAATGATAAACAGTGTTCGAGATGATGGTATAAATGTATTTATTAGATATATAATACCAAATGGTAATGAAATAACCATATGAATAGTAATTTGTATGATTAACATTCGCGCTAGTTGACTTTCCGTTCGACGATTTTGACTCGAACCTGCTATCGGTTGTATTCGTTTAAGTTGTCGTCGAATATTCAATATCGTTAAAACACCGAATATTATCATGATGACTGGTGCTAAAATATAATAAATCGCAATTTGGCTAAAAGCATATACTGTTGTTGGCATAGTTGACAGTTGTACACATAATTGTAGCGTAGAATTGAATTCATAGATGAACATCATAGGTAACATGTAGAGTGCACATAGAAGTGAAGTACATACGATAAAATATTGTGCGATTCGAACGTTACTGATTGCGCGAAGTTTGATTGATGTTGAGCTTGAACAAAAACGATCGAACGCTGCTAGAGTCAGCATTAGATTTGCTTGCATAGGTAAAACAAATAGCAGATAAGGGTTTAATTTGCAGCCAATAGATGTGTTGATCCAGAGGATAGAGTAACGTCGTAAGATTTGTGTTGGACATAGAATACATGTATAAAGAATGCTTGAAAACGAAAAAGTGAGAAAATAATGAGTGCATGCTGATGATCGAAGTGTTCGAGTGGATAGAACACATATATTCAATAGATTTGTGATGATCGCAAGTGTAAAATGAATCGGTTGAATATAAATTGTCGTTTGGTCAACTTTTTCAGCGAGGGTGCTCATGTTATATGTAAGATTTTGTTTTTCTATAGAACAAGATAGAGTTTTTCCACGGTGTTAAAAAGGATCTGCTTGAACTGTTATATCATTGTAGAACATCTGTTGTGTTATTCAACAAGAATTAGCTAATCACACTTATTAAATGAAAGGGATGTACGTCACAGATTAACGTTGAGTTATTTATGTCGAAAGAGTACTTTTTTAACATTAAAAAAGATTTCACGTTTCAACAAGCTTGTCACAAGCGATTATTTAAGACGTCATCAAAAGATAAAAAGATTATATATAATGAGGATGAGTAAGTAGATTCGTATATTGGACTTTCAGTTTATCGTCCCACATTTAATTTGTTTAATTACGTGTTTTCTTGAAGAGATAGGTACGCAATTCATGACTATATAAGAATAAATCAATCAGATCAATAACAAGACTTAACGCAGGTAAGATGAGAAGTGCATGAAAAACAATATATGAAATACCATTTCCATCCCAATTAATCACACCAATGATATAAATTGGTATCCAACCACAAAAGAAGATCACATACATAAATAGCATATGTTTCAATAATCGAGTATCTCGCTGACTAGACACCAATCCTACTGCATCTCCTCCTTGATTTTCAGCTTGAATACGTCGTGTTGAACGATGAACAGAATAGAAAATAAGACTATTAGATATTGCTAAGAATATTCCTGGTAGAACTCCAACAATGAACAGAACATAGATTTGATAGTTAAGTTCAAGACCGGATATGAAGCAATGCTAAAATAAATACAAGATAGAAAATGATTTCGTTAATCAAATCGTTCGCTTTACTTCGAGACTGGAACCAAATTGAGGTAACGGTATGATTGCTGCAAATAACCATTGAACAACGATACACATAATTGCCCATTTCTTTTTTCGAAATACAACACTTCTGTGATACCGAATAGCACAAAGTAGATTCAACGAAACGACACAGAGAGCATAAATGAATTGACAAACGACCAATGTCTGCAGATAGAGTATGACTAGACATGATTTCTCTGTCCATAGAATATCCGCATGGAATGTACTCATAAAGTAATAGATCGCCCAGAACGAAGCACAGACGAAGATAGTGATGCTCACATTCAGACTGAGAAAATGAAGTGGAGTATGAAAACGTCGAATGAAAATGAATGGTAACGAATAAAGAATCGATCCAATCGAAGTAAAACCGAGAAGAATGATTTTGATATAAACTAAGAGAATTATAATTTGTCTGTCGTTCATTTTGAGGATTTTTGATTTTGAAGAAGATTCTCGCAAGCGATGCGTTCTAGTGCATGTTATAAATGACTATTTATGTGAGATATTTTTGATGACTAATGAATGTCATTAAAGTTTATTTCGACTGTGCTCAGTGGGTGGATATATGGCATTGATGTTGCAAGAAGTTCATCGAGGCAAATGTGAAAAAAACAGGATTTATCCTATGTTGAAAAGAATGAAGATGTTGTATGTATGTATATGAAGCATAGAGTAATGAGAATAATTATTGATGCTAAAAAGAAGATTCTTATTATCTATCTGCAGGACTGTATAGAACAAAAAACACAACTAACAGAAAAATGTTGAATCGAGCGTATGTGAATGTTACTATAGTGATACTCCAGGTTTTTTTCTCCAAATCTTTATTTGAGTGTGTATTACAGATTCATCCGACCATATCTGTTTTCGTGTGTTGCTTTAACGATTGCAAGATGCAGACAAAGGGTGAGGGTGTGATGATGTTAGCTTGGTTGTGAGAATAATAGATGGTCGGATGTATCATTGTTTGTGTGACGACAATGTGTGAGATAGAGAGTGCGTGTGAGGGAAAACAATTTGTGATGAAGGGTGGAATGTCGGAATAATTGAAAGATAGAGTTTATTTTACTGAGGAAGAGTAGTAAGTTTGGTAAATGGTTGAAAAATAAAATATGAAAGATGTGTATACTATCGGAACGGTAGTATGCGATATGGACGTACAATTTATGTAAGATACAACATTACTGGTATCGTGGGTGCGAAAGATGTTGAGTCTCGTTTTAGTTTAATCCGCAGGCGATTGATTTGTCGATCATTTTGAATAGCAGTGCGTTGGAAGACTGTATAAGAGAAGAGAATGTTCTCGTCGCACGATAAGTATAAAGTTTACCTGTTGCGGCGCATCTGGGATACAGATACGTGTGATCTCTTTTTCTTGAGTTTTAAAAGATGGTGAAGAGAGTCAGTACAGGTAATAGCTTATGAGATAGCGTGACATATTAACTAGTGGTACAACATCTTCTCAGTGAAAGAACTGAAATTGAAAACATTAGTTCTGAAAAGAATCCCATTTTTACAGAAGTAGTCCAGAAGTTGATTATCAAATTTAACGTATTAGTATAAAGTAGAAAGATTTTATTGCTGCAATGAGTTCTACAGTTTAATGGTGGTCTCAATTAATACTGATGATCTGGTAAATTATCTGAGCTAATGATTCTTTACATATACGATATACGCATTGATGATTCGATTAGAAATCATCTAGTAATATCAATAACGCCTATTCGACTTCGTTATGGCTCTAGATAAGTGTGTCTGACGCAAAAACGTTCATCAGATACTTCAAAAGCGTGCTAATAAACCAAGTGTGAGTAGCGAACTCTTATCACAAGAGTGCAACCTTAGCTTTGTATCTTTTTATTCCAATTACCTGTAGATTGGGACCAAATTGAGGCGATGGTATTACTGCTTTAAACATCAATATATACTATGGCAGATTTTCTTGATAAATAATCATTGTTTGAAAATCTTAGTTGACTGCAATGACTATGAAAAAAGAACATGTATTCCTTGTAACACTCGCTCACAATTACGTCTAAGCTCCAAATAAGCAAAAAACACTATAAATTTCCTTTCGTTCGTTTTAATTCACAAATTCAATATAACCGATCTACAGAATACGTGATGACATGTCTCTTCACATAAGATTTCTAGATTTATTGAAATATTTCGTGATTATATAACAATTCAAAGTCACAGACTCATTTTAAAACCTTTCTTCGTATAACCAATTCGTAATAATCTTGTTTTCCCATTCAATGAAAACTGATTTTCAGATAGATCAAGCCGTTGTAATCTATTATTAGCACTCAACATCTTCTCAAGACTATCGAGACATCTATCATCCAAGCGATTACCAGCCAAACCTAGCACCTCTATCGAAGTTTTGTTATCCATTGCATTAAATAAAACTTCGATTCCTCTATGTTCGATATTATTATAACCAATATGAAGATCTTTCAATGTTCGATTATAGCGAATCACTTCTGCTAATGATTGAGCGCCTAAATCTNGATTGTAAGTATCGTACATTGTTTGAATATTCGTTTGATTTGAACGGTCCGATGATAACCAAATCATATGATAATGAGCCCATTCCGCATAGGGTAATGTCGTCGAAGAGATAACCAACGGACAACAAAGAAGAATCAGTAGAACGAACATTCTCGCTGATGAAATGTGAAAAGAACGCAGATCTTTTCTATACAAAGATAACGATCAGACTTGCTTACATCGAGATATTCTCTTTCTTTTCTCCTCCTTTGAATCTTAAACACATCGAGGTTGAAAATATCTGATTGGCTATAGTGTGCAGAATCTTCGTAAATAGACTAATGCGAACATTTGAATGAGAAACAAACATCGTTGTTACGACATCATCACCATCACCTCATCCTTTTCTAAAAAATATACTGCAGAAGCAAAACTGATTAAACATTAATAGGAAAAAAAGAATGTTCATTTATTCAAAAGTGTTGTTGAGTCCAATCGAGTGCCTTTTGATACCAGTCTTTAGCATTTGAGTGTAAGTTAATATTATGACCAGCGTTTGAAGGACAGGATAGAGTCACAACTGCATAGATGCAACCAACTGGCGGCAATGAAACCACGAACATATCGATTATATGCATGATGCAGAAAGTATTTTCCATGAAATCAATGTTCCAAGTGAATGACCGACGAGTACAATATCTGTGAATTGAACTGTAGGTTTGTTATTAACTGAGAAATAACATTGACATTGACATCGATGATTATGTCAGTGGCCTGGGACTTTGAACTTAAACCAATTCCAATTCGATCGATAATTAAAACAACAATATCTTCATCACTATTCTGAATGGCATAGTTAACATATGAATAGTTCGGTGACTGATAAGGAAACACCCAGTACGTGTGATCGTAGGTATAACCATGAATTGTTAGATGTACTGTTTTATGACTATTCAATTGAATACCTTGTTTTCGATAAAATCATGTAGCAATTCATTCATTATTGTATGTATTAGATAAGAGGATGTTTGGAAGGTGAACAGTGATATTTTTCTGTTCACAATCAACATCTGTATTGATAGATAATATACATAAGCGAATGATCAAAAATACGAATATTCATACTTGCGACGTCGTATGTGTTTGTTTTAGCTGTAAATAAATTACGTGTGTCATATGGTTCGCTGAATATGATTATTTACATATCGTCATGTGTGTCATGATCAATACTAAACGAACTTTTGGGCTATGCGAGCGTCATATTGTAACGATAGTTATAGATTTTTCGATCTAGTAGTCATTTATCAGAGAGATTAGCTTAGGGAACGAGATACACGTTTGAAACTTCTTCCGCTGTAAATAAAAAAAAGTCAATACCTGTATTAACGGCAGTTTTTGTTTTGTGAAATATTCACACATTGATATTTCATCATGTTCATGCGATAACTATAGTCCCCACTCGTGAATATTGACTAGTGTTTATCATTAGCGAGTATTATTTTGTTTACATATGTAAAAGAGATGAAGCTGAAATGACTCATTTTGTTTCGGACTCAACTACAGATGTTCAAGAAGATTCTAAAGGCGTTCACTTACGCATCATATAGTCACTTGAATATAGGATTGATAGAAATACGAATAGCAAATTAAAACTAGATAAAAAGTGTTCATTTTGATTATCATTTATTTGAATGTTCGGAAAACAATGGGATGTGATGATCCTCTTTCTGAATTTTGTTTTCATAGTGCAACTGACACATGATCTGAGAATATATTTGCAATCAAGAATTGTTAACGATTAACATATTCAATTATTAGTTTAAACGTTCAATCCTTGTGATCCAGAAAAAGTGGACATTTTCCTATATGAAGACTTTTTTTGCTATAAACTCTGAAAAGTATCGAACCAATCATACCGACAGTCAAAATGATTTGGGATGCTGCTGCATACCGTGGCATTCTTTCAGATTGTGTCTTCCATCACAATTGATGTTATCAATCGTACTGCGAATTTCACTGTCGTTTTCTTCAGTAGTTGTTTAAAAAATGCATAGAAATGTTAATAAGGTATTTCATTAACGCATTATACCACGATTACGACGACTGCAACAAGTGTTGTATCTCGATGATGCATTCAAAAAGGTAAACAGCGCACATTGTCACTAATGACATAAGTAGTTTACGTCAATATACTCTCGTTTTCGTTCTATGCAGAAAAAAAATACCATAGAGTCCAACATATACGAAACAACTTTCTTGAGACCTTATCTTCTTTTGCAATGAAAGATTGCTTCGATAGAGATAACTAGCAAAGTTATATCTGTTATTGACATCGAAAATTTTTGTATGCTGAAAAACTATACGAATTGTAAGCAAAAACAAGTTTGAAATTGAAATCTGTTTGTGCCAACAAAATTCACATACAGCATTGCACCTCGACTATCACCACCTTCAAAAGGTGAAGATGATCGCAAATATTGTAAAAGTTGAGTACACAACGAAAAGGCATAGATAAACTTACTTTTCTATAAGTATAAGTAAGCAAACATGGTATTCTATTTGTTTTGAGAAAAAAAAGAGACTTTCATATCATCTTGGAATTCTTTTGCTCAAAGATTTACCCATGGAAACTGTGCGAGACCCTGTTTGTAAGCAAGAATCCGTCGTAAATGATGATTTCATTGTCGAAGTATTATGTTCAGAAGAGAATGCTGAAGCATTTGCAAACTCGAATCCCATGACTGTTTTTCAAGGAATATCAGCTGAAGTGCACTTTGAAAAAATTGCATTACCATTGGCTTTATCTGTGCTTAGTCAAGAACTTTCATTACTTGTTCGAAAACGTTCCACCAATGAAATCATTGAATGTATTCTGTCTACAGATCTGTATCTTAAATCGATTTGTCCAATAACAAACACAACTGGCATTGCACATGAAGATTTTATTGCTGATCTCGACAGGGCAACTAACTCGAAATTCATTAATACATTTTCTTTTGCACGCAACGAAAATAGGCGAAGAAGGTAAAGGTGTGAGTAGTTATTTAATATGCGAGACCTGTAAATATGCTCGCGAGATCAAAGGTTTCAAATATGCACACGCGCAGACAACAAATCCAGCTATGAGACATATTTACGATAAAATAGGTGGTGAAGTAATATCGCAAATTGATCCCGCTACTTGGATGTGGAAAAACTGTGGCAATTCTCATGAATATCCTTTCAAAACATGGAATGCTGGACCTCTACCGAACATATGCGTTAAATTATAACTCGCAATTGTAACACGACTTAAGAAATAAAAAAGAAACATAATTACTTTTACTAATAATCTCGTAATCTTTTGCACCATCTGACAACATATGCTGTTGACAGCGTAATTGCTTATTTCTAATTACTAAACACAACATTCACAGCTGGAACGATTTTTAGGTCAATTTCAGTTTAGAACTCTCCAACAGCAGTATTGAGTCTTGCTGTTGCTACTTGTAACGTAGATTTACGACGATCAGAATGACCATACTGAGTAATACCAGGTGGTTTTCTTGTCAGCGTATTAATGGCGTTCTTTTCGCGAGAATTGATTTTGAGCATTCGAAAAAGTTTCTCTCGATAAACACCACCAGAAAGGGTGTATAGGAAAAATGGAACAAAGTAATCACATTGCTGCCATGCAACAAATATTAATCGAATCCCGGTGATAAACAGTGTTCGAGATGATGGTATAAATGTATTTATTAGATATATGATACCGAATGGTAATGAAATAACCATATGAATAGTAATTTGTATGATTAACATTCGCGCTAGTTGACTTTCCGTTCGACGATTTTGACTCGAGCCTGCTATCGGTTGTATTCGTTTAAGCTGTTGTCGAATATTCAATATCGTTAAAGCACCGAATATCATCATGATTATTGGTGCTAAAATATAATAAATCGCAATTTGACTAAAAGCATATACTGTTGTTGGCATAGTTGACAGTTGTACACATAATTGTAGCGTAGAATTGAATTCATAGATGAACATCATGGGTAACATGTAGAGTGCGCATAGAAGTGAAGTACAAACGATAGAATATTGTGCGATTCGAACGTTGCTGATTGCGCGAAGTTTGATTGATGTTGAGCTTGAACAAAAGCGATCGAACGCTGCTAGAATAAGCATTAGATTTGCTTGCATAGGTAAAACAAATAGTAGATAAGGGTTTAATTTGCAGCCAACAGATGTGTTGATCCAGAGGATAGAGTAACGTCGTAAGATTTGTGTTGGACATAGAATACATGTGTAAAGAATGCTTGAAAACGAAAAAGTGAGAAAGTAATGAGTGCATGCTGATGATCGAAGTGTTCGAGTGGATAGAACACATATATTCAATAGATTTGTGATCATCGCAAGTGTAAAATGAATCGGTTGAATATAAATTGTCGTTTGGTCAACTTTTTCAGCGAGGGTGCTCATTTTGTTTTTCTATAGAACAAGATAAAGTTTTTACACGATGTTAAAAAGGATCTGCTTGAACTGTTATATCGTTGTAGAACATCTGTCGTGTTATTCAACAAGAATTAGCTAATCACACTTATCAAATGAAAGGGATGTACGTCACAGATTAACGTTGAGTTATTTATGTCGAAAGAGTACTTTTTTTAACATTAAAAAAGATTTCACGTTTCGACAAGCTTGTCACAACTGATTATTTAAGATGTCATCAAAAGAAAAAAAGAGTATAATGAGGTTGAGTAAGTAGATTTGTATATTGGACTTTCAGTTTGTCGTCCCACATTTAATTTGTTTGATTACGTGTTTTCTTGAAGAGATAGGTACGTAATTCATGATTATATAAGAATAAATCAATGAGATCAACAACAAGACTTAACGCAGGTAAGATGAGAAGTGCATGAAAAACAGTATACGAAATACCATCTCCATCCCAGTTAATAACACCAATGATATAGATTGGAATCCAACCACAAAAGAAGATCACATACATAAAAAGCATATGTTTCAATAATCGAGTATCTCGCTGACTAGACACCAGTCCTACTGCATCTCCTCTTTGATTTTCAGCTCGAATACGTCGTGTTGAACGATGAACAGAATAGAAAATAAGACTATTAGATATTGCTAAGAATATTCCTGGTAGAACTCCAACGATGAACAGAACATAGATTTGATAGTTAAGTTCAAGACCGGATATGAAGCAATGCTAAAACAAATACAAGATAGAAAATGATTTTATTAATCAAATCGTTCGCTTTACTTCAAGACTCGAGCCAAATTGAGGTAGCGGTATGATTGCTGCAAATAACCATTGAACAACGATACACATAATTGCCCATTTCTTTTTTCGAAATACAACACTTCTGTGATACCGAATAGCACAAAGGCGATTCAGCGAAACGATACAGAGAGCATAAATGAATTGACAAACGACCATTGTTTGCAGATAGAGTATGACTAGACATGATTTCTCTGTCCATAGAATATCCGCATAGAATGTACTCATAAAGTAATAGATCGCCCAGAACGAAGCACAGACGAAGATAGTGATGCTCACATTCAGACTGAGAAAATGAAGTGGAGTATGAAAACGTCGAATGAAAATGAATGGTAACGAATAGAGAATTGATCCAATCGAAGTAAAGCCGAGAAGAATGATTTTGATACAAACTAAGAGAATTATAAGTTGTCTGTCGTTCATTTTGAGGATTTTTGATTTTGAAGAAGATTCTCGCAAGCGACGCGCTCTAGTGCATGTTATAGACGACTATTTATGTGAGATATCTTTGATGACTAATGAATGTCGTTAAAGTTTATTTCGACTGTGCTCAGTGGGTGGATATATGGCATTGATGTTGCAGAAAGCGCATCGAGGCAAATGTAAAAAAGGTAGGATTTATCGTATGTCGAAAAGAATGAAGATGTTGCATGCATGTATGTGAACCATAGAGTAATGAGAATAATTATTGATGCTAAGAAGAAGATTCTTATTATCTATCTGCAGGACTGTATAGAACAAAAAAACACAACTAACAAAAAATGTTGAATCGAGCGCATGTGAATGTTACTATAATGATACTCCAGGCTTTTTCTCCAAATCTTTATTTGAGTGTGTATTACAGATTCATCTGACCATATCTGTTTTTTTAACGATTGCAAGATGCAGACAAAGGGTGACGGTGTGATGATGTTAGTTTGGTTGTGAGAATAATAGATGGTCGGATGCATCACTGTTTGTGTGACGACAATGTGCGAGATGGGTAGTGCGTGTGAAGGAAAAACAATTTGTGATGAATGGTGGAAAAGTACATTTTTCTAAAATAAAACTAATTGATGTCGGAATAATTGAAAGATAGAGTTTATTTTACTGAGGAAGAGTAGTAGATTTGTTATGGTTGAAAAATAGAATATGAAAGATGTTGAGTCTCGCCTTGGTTTAATCCGCAAGCGATTGATTTGTCGATCATTTTGAATAGTAGTGCGTTGGAAGACTGTATAACAGAAGAGAGTGCTCTTGTCGCACGACAGGTATAAAGTTTACCTGTTGCGGCGCATCTGAGATACAGATACGTGTGATCTCTTTTTCTTGAGTTTTAAAAGACGGTGAGGAGAGTCAGTACAGGTGGTAGCTTATGAGATAGCGTGAAAATAAGCAAGTGTGCACAGCAAAGTGGTACGAAGACAAGATATCATGTTCTGTTATTAGTTTGCTTGCAAGTTGTTAAAGTTAGCGGAACAATATCACAAGGGAAATACTAGTTTACCGTATTACTAAAAAAATTCGCATGAAAATTACGGCATAGTAAACGAAAAGCTTATGTTAGATTATCAATCACTTATTGGATTTGAGATCGCATTGTCATTCGAACTATATTAACTAGTAGTAGTCCAGAAGCTGATTATCAAATTTAACGTATTAGTAGAAAGTAGAAAGATTTGATTGCTGCAATGAGTTCTACAGTTTAGTGATGGTCGCAATCAATACCGATGAACCGGTAAATTATCTCAGCTAATGATTGTTTACGTATACGACCAACGCATTAACAATTCGATGAGAAACCATCTAGTGATATCAATAACGCCTATTCGACTTCGTTATGGCTCTAGGTAAATGTGTCTGACGGAAAAACGTTCATCAGATACTTCAAAACCGTACTAATAAAACCAAGTGTAAGTAGCGAACTCTTATCACAAGAGTGCAATCTCAGCTTTGTCTCTTTTTGTTCCAATTACGTGTAGATTGGAACCAAATTGAGGCGACGGTATTACTGCTTTAAACATCAATATATAATATGGCAGAAGATTTCTAGATTTATTGAAATTTTTCGTGATTATATAACAATTCAAAGTCACAGACTCATTTTAAAACCTTTCTTCGTGTAACCAATTCGTAATAATCTTGTTTTCCCATCCAATGAAAACTGATTTTCAGATAGATCAAGTCGTTGTAATCTATTATTAACACCTAACATCTTCTCAAGACTATCGAGACATCTATCATCCAAGCGATTACCAGCCAAACCTAGCACCTCTATCGAAGTTTTGTTATCCATTGCATTAAATAAAACTTCGATTCCTCTATGTTCGATATTATTATAACCAATATGAAGATCTTTCAATGTTCGATTATAGCGAATCACTTCTGCTAATGATTGAGCGCCTAAATCTGCTATACAATTTGATTCTAAGTCCAATACTTCAAGTGTATTGTTAATCAACAATGCGTGTTGTAGATGATCCACTCCTTTGCAATTAATTTGGTTTCCTTTTAGACATAATCGTTTAAGAATAAGATTCGAACGTAATGCATTTGCCAACAACTCAATTCCGTGCGATTTAATGAAATTATTACTTAAATTCAATACTGAACATTGTTTGTTTACGATTGCTTGACGGATGATGAACGGAATATCGTAGTCATTGAGCCGTAAATCAATTAAATTGATAGTAGAGTGTACCTGACATTGTGAAAGTATCATTTCGAGACGAGGATTAATATTTACACTTGGATCTAAGACGATCAAAACATATAATCGAATCTTTTTCAAATAAATCATTTCATTTACTCGATAGAATTTGCATCAGTTGCATTTTATTATTGAGTTGGAGACAGGCGTTGGCATGTTGGGCGTCAGCAGCTCGCAAATTGCTCAGCATTGTTTTCTGAGTCGAGCAGAACTCTTTCAATCCATGAATTTCATCGCTTAGTTCCTTTTTCTCGATTTCAAGTACATTCACACGATTAAAATATTCTTCATTTTGATTTTCACATTGTTGTAAGCGATCAGTAAGACTATTGATTGTATTTATCAAATGCGACAGAATCGGTCGCATATTTTCAAACGAGCATGTCGATAGATGTACACTGAGTTGATCTCGCGGTCCTTGCCAGGGACATTTCAAATCGGCAGCTGAACACGTGACGAAAGTTTTCAAACAGTATCGATTTGAATGCTCATCGAAGTTGCCCCGTTGAATATTCGTCTGTCGACAAGCTTTGCATCGAACAAGCAGACGATCGAGTATATCAAAAACCAGACGATTTGTTGCACGTAAACCTTCACTTGTCATTGGCCTTTTACTGCAAGCAGGACATCGATCGCTTGACTCGAGCCATTTTGTAATACAGGATCGACAGAAAGTATGGTCGCAGATCGTCGAGCATGGATTTGTATAAGGATCCGAACATATCAGACATTTCAGACTAATATCAATCGAAGATTCATCTATATACTCATAACCATTTTCCATTTGGAAGTTTCTTTACTTCTTTTGAAAAGGCAGTTCACACAAATGACTCATTAACTGGGTTTTTTTTCTTTCACCGCGTTGCGAGTTCGTGTATGACTCATCATTTGGTGTTTACTCTTGTTCTGCCGCAGGAAAGAAAAGAAACGAAACATACATTCTTTTGATCATTCCTTATCCATGCCTAATTCTATTTGTATGCACTCGCTGCGATCATAAATTTGAATATGAATATTACGATCCATATTTTAACTACTAATTTCATAATGATATAGCATAAAACGATCTTTTGTATTTCAAGTACATATCATACATTTTTATCACTACCTGGGTGTGTGTATATATAGGTGGAGCTCTTATTTATTCTTTCGTTAGAATCGTTGATGATGATGATGATGCATCTCTTATTGTTGTTCGTTCTTATCGTTGAATGTTCGAGCTGGGGTAATATAAATGTGTCCGTTGACCAAAAAGGAGGATATCAAATAAGCATTGGTGATCGCGTCTGGCTTCGTTCAGCTCGTACTGCCATCCATGTAGATAATAAATGGTATTCATCCGATGATGATTCCTTACCATTGATTAATATAACATCTGGCAGTGGCTTCGATCCACAACTAGGTGATTATCGAGATTTTCAATTGAATTACGATCTTGCTCGTGGTGGAATACATACGATAATCGTTGGTCATATTCGTGATTGGTATTCTATTTCAGGAATTTCATTTCATTTGGATACCGGTGATCAGATTTTGACAAATACTGTACCTCTTGGTATGAATGATATTCGTACGGTTTTTCCATCGTTTCATATCGAGCAGATTGATGATGGAGATCAACGAGGATATTTCACATTTGAAGGCGAAATGGCAGGTGATGACAAGAAACATGCTGGTCGATGGATTTCATCGAGTCAAATTGTTGAGTCAGGAATTGAATCAGGTCCAATTGTTATTTTTAACCTAACTCAACAAGGCGAAGGTGATCTGTTGATTCTCTCGCCATTTTCGCAATTTATGAGTAGTTCATTTGTTCAAACGAATACCAGCACATTGGAATATGGTGTTCTGGGTTCGATACTATCGATTCCTTCCAATTACAATCATTCAATGATGGTTTTTTACTCACCGAATGGCATTAATTTAGGTATCAGAGAATGGGGTCAAATGATGCAAAAAGAATATAATCGAACACAGAAATATCGTTCCGCTGATCTAACAATCAATTATCTTGGATATTACACCGATAATGGTGGCTATTATTATTATAATACAGAAAAAGGAGTAAATTATGAAGAAACTATGGTAGATATTCGTCAACGACTTGCACTCCCAATTCATTATTTACAACTTGATTCTTGGTGGTATTTTAAAGGTGCTGGCGACGGCGTTTCGAAATGGATAGCACGCCCGGATATATTTCCTGATGGCCTTGTTAATCTACATCGTCGNTTGAATATTCGTCTGTCGACAAGCTTTGCATCGAACAAGCAGACGATCGAGTATATCAAAAACCAGACGATTTGTTGCACGTAAACCTTCGCTTGTCATTGGCCTTTTACTACAAGCAGGACATCGATCACTTGACTCGAGCCATTTTGTAACACAAGATCGACAGAAAGTATGGTCGCAGATCGTCGAGCATGGGTTTGTATAAGGATCCGAACATATCAGACATTTCAGACTAATATCAATCGAAGATTCATCTATATACTCATAACCATTTTCCATTTGGAAGTTTCTTTACTTCTTTCTAAAAGGCAGTACACACAAATGACTCCTTAACTGCTTTTTTTTTTCTTTCTCCGCGTTGCGAGTTCGTGTATGACTCATCATTTGGTGCTTACTTTTGTTCTACAAAAGGAAAGGAAAGAACCAAACAGGTACATTCTTTTGATCACTGCTTATCCATGCCTAGTTTTATTTGTATGCACTCGCTGCGATCATAAATTTGAATATGAATATTACGATCCATATTTTATCTACTATTTTCATAATGATATAGCATAAAACGATCTTTTGTATTTCAAGTACATACCATACATTTTTATCGTTATCTGGGTATGTATATATAGGTGAAGCTCTTATTTATTCTTTCGTTAGAATCTTTGATGATGATGCATCTCTTATTGTTGTTCGTTCTTATCGTTGAATGTTCGAGCTGGGGTAATATAAATGTGTCTGTTGACCAAAAAGGAGGATATAAAATAAGCATCGGTGATCGTGTCTGGCTTCGTTCAGCTCGTACTGCCATCTATGTAGATAATAAATGGTATTCATCCGATGATGGTTCCTTACCGTTGATTAATGTAACATCTGGCAGTGGCTTCGATCCGCAATTAGGTGACTATCGAGATTTTCAATTGAATTACGATCTTGCTCGTGGTGGAATACATACGATAATCGTTGGCCATATTCGTGATTGGTATTCTATTTCAGGAATTTCATTTTATTTGGATACCGGTGATCAGATTTTGACAAATACTGTACCTCTTGGTATGAATGATGTTCGTACGGTTTTTCCATCGTTTCATATCGAACAGATTGATGATGGAGATCAACGAGGATATTTCACATTTGAAGGCGAAATGGCTGGTGATGACAAGAAACATGCTGGTCGATGGATTCCATCGAATCAGATTGTTGAGGCAGGAATTGAATCGGGTCCAATTGTTGTTTTTAATCTAACTCAACAAGGCGAAGGTGATATGTTGGTTCTCTCGCCATTTTCGCAATTTATGAGTAGTTCATTTGTTCAAACGAATACCAGCACATTGGAATATGGTGTTCTGGGTTCAATACTATCGATTCCTTCCAACTATAATCATTCAATGATGGTTTTTTACTCACCGAATGGCATCAATTTAGGTGTCAGAGAATGGGGTCAATTGATGCAAAAAGAATATAATCGAACACAGAAATATCGTTCCGCTGATTTAACAATCAATTATCTTGGATATTACACCGACAATGGTGGCTATTATTATTATAATACAGAAAAAGGAGTAAATTATGAAGAAACCATGGTGGATATTCGTCAACGACTTGCACTCCCAATTCATTATTTACAACTTGATTCTTGGTGGTATTTTAAAGGTGCTGGCGACGGCGTTTCGAAATGGATAGCACGCCCGGATATATTTCCTGATGGCCTTGTTAATCTACATCGTCGATTAGAAAATATTCCATTAGCAGCACATAATCGTTATTGGTCGTATGATACGGATTATAAATACAATTATTCGTTTGCCCTCGATGAAAACAATCAGAAGGCATTGCCGATTGGAAACGATTCATTCTGGGCGGATTTATTAACTCAAGCTCATGATTGGGGACTTGTTCTCTATGAACAAGATTGGCTTGATCGTCAAACAATGCAGTTTTCACCTCTACTTACTGACATCCATCTTGGCCAGCAATGGCTGTCATCGATGGGCAGAGCAGCCGATCAAACAGGTATCAATATACAATACTGTATGAGTTTACCACGTCATATACTTAGTGCTCTACCAATTTCACGTGTTACTCAAGCACGCGCGTCAACGGACTATGCAGTTCATCTTGAAGGTAAAGCACAACAATGGGCGATAGGAATATCCAGCATGTTCCTGGATGCCATTGGTATAGCACCCTTTAAAGATGTGTTTTGGTCAACGTCTGTTCAACCAGATGCTCCTTACAAATCAAATCCAAAGGAAGTTCTGCCTGAACGAGAAGCACTTATCGCGACTCTATCTACAGGACCTGTTACTCCAGGCGATGCAATCAATTATACAAACAAAGACGTTATCATGAGATGTTGCCGACCAGACGGTTTGATTTTTAAACCAGATCGACCATTAACAATGATTAATAGATTAATATCTGATTGGGCTCTTTATAATGGTACTTCTCAAGGCGAACTTTATTCGACTGAAACGCATCTGATGTAAGATCTTTCGTTTTCTCTCCTCTGCTCCTCCTAAAGTCAATCTTTCTTATTTAGATACCAAAAACCAGTCACATTTTATACTCTCTTTGCCTCAGCGATGAAAAGAGATTATCAAATTTTTCCTTCGATGATTGGCGCTCAAGCCGGAGTTATTTGGTCATATGATAATCCGACTGAGGTGTTGACCTTTGATAATGAGCATCCTTTGAACGTATTAGCAAGCAAATGCCATGATTTATCGATATGCCGTTGGGGTGTATCACCTCTTGTTCAGTTTGCTGATAAAACACAATATGCTTTTCTTGGCGAATGGAACAAATGGACACCTGTTAGTTCTCAACGAGTTGGCTATATAACTAATATGATCGGAATTAACTTAGCAGAAATAGGTCTCCAAGGTTTACTCAACGAAAGGTCTCCATTTCTCGTCTACCATTCCACTTTGGGAGTGGTGAATGTCACTTGTCCATTTGGACCGGATGCAGGCGAAGCTCAAATCGTTATTGACTCAACAAGAGTTATCTGCGTTTTCTAAATCACTTAAATAAACTGATGACCTTTTAACTATATTCTTGTATTTTATGAGGATGTGAGCGATCCGCTGATATCACCTCGAAATAATGAAAAGATGAAAAAGAAACTATCTCGTGGTTGTTTATCTAAATGTTCTTTTTCTCTTGCATAGATAGTATATCAAGAATCGAATTGAGTTACATAAAATAAGCTTACTTTTTTTGCGTTGTTGAAGCACACGCCATATGACAGATATGCAGATGCCTTTGTGTATTTTAGTTTGTTTTGTGTTAACAACACTGATCTATGGGAAACCAATTCGTCAAAGTAAATATTTTCCATTTGATTGATGTGTATGTTTGTTTTGCTTTCCGTGCAGTCGAAGAGGCACCACTTCGAGTGTTCTTTCGACATATTGATTTAAATGCAAATGATGAACTTGATGCCTATGAATTACAACATTATTTTCACGACATCGAGCCCGACGATAAGGTTCCAGATCTTAATCAAGTAATTCGTACAATGAAACGTACGATGAAGCAAGTAACAAATGAGCATGAACAACATTTCAGTATCTCTTGGCAGCAATTTCATGGCAATTTTATTGAATTGGATTCCATCGCCGATAATAACATTCCTCAAGTTCGTAGGCTTTTCTTTGTTTTCAAATATACCGATACATTCTCTTCTACTATACTGTAGCAAATTCATCTATCGTTACTTGCCGATGGTACTTGGTCCTCTATGGTCGTTATCTGGATTTTAAAAGGTATTGGCAGTGAACACCAGCCGTCATCCTTTGTTCGATACGGAACCGCCAGCGGTAGCTATATCTATACACAAGCGGCTACAAATCGTACCTATGATGTTGGAATTGGTGGATGGAAAGGAACGATCTATGAAGCAAGGATGATAAGCTTACAACCGTGTCAAATATACTACTACAGGTGATGTATAATCTATCAAGATATCATTCATTCTAATCGTAGGATTTGTTATGTGTAGAGTGGGAAACGCTAAAGCTTGGTCGGATGAGTATAGCTTCAAGACAGATTGTTCTAATGTTTCGACACGTGTATTTGCTGTTATGGGTGATATGGGTACTGTTATTCCAGCCGGACATCTTGTAGCTAAACAGATCACGGAAGATCATCGAACTACTCCGTTCACAAGTGTTGTACACGTCGGTGATATTAGTTATGCCGGCACTGGCTCGTCAGAAGAGATTGCCGTACGTGTTTAGAAAGAATCAAGTAATAATTCTTCTCTTACTTTTTCTTCATTTTTCATCTAGGAAGTTTGGGATATGTGGGGAAGACAAGTTGAGCCAATCTCATCGATAGTACCATACATGACCAATGTTGGTAATCATGAAGCTTATTACAATTACACAGCTTATCGAAACCGATTTCGCATGCCTGGTCCTGAAAGTCTTGGTGTGGATAACTTTTGGTTTAGCTTCAATACCGGACCAGTTCATTGGATATCGATGAGCTCACAAGTAAGCAGATATTCGAATCATTTCGTACGAGTAGTCCTTGTTTCTTAGCATGACTACAGCAAAGACAGTGTTCAATATGCATGGTTAGTCAATGATCTGATCAAAGCCACCCAAAATCGCACCCAACAACCATTTATCATCGTTGTTACACATAGACCATTATTGTGCTCAGACGAATCCGAACTCGAGTATATTTTCACTCACAATTACCTTCTTAACGTATATTGATCTATTTCAGACAACATCTACCGAATTCCACCTTATTCAAAACAGTTTATTCTCTCTTCGTGAAATATCAAGTACAATTGATTATTACAGGTCATATGCATGTATATGAACGAATATTTTATGACAACACAACACTTATCACTAACAATACATACACGAACGTTCGTTCTCCTGTGATTGTTGTACAAGGAACTGGTGGAGCATTTGATAATGATAAATGGATACAGCCTCAACCTTGGTGGAGTAAATCGCGAATGATTGCCTATGGATATGGACGTGTTACTGTTTCTGTTGATGAGACGCAACGACGTCTTCATTATGAATATCTACTTGAACATGATCGAAGTGTTTATGATCAATTTTCAATTGTGATATGATTTTCTCTCGGAAATCAGAATATTTGAAACTAATAAAAAGTATAGAATATGTTTTGTCATGTGAACAGAACTAACTATGGTAAAAGTTTAGTGCTTAACGGTTTTCTAAAACAGAAAAGAAATGAATGATGCACAGAATATTAAGAATTTTTTACTAATAATAAAATGGATATATTCACAAGCTCTGTCACAGCGAATATATGCATTGCAAGCACCGCAAGGAATGCGCTTTGTGCAATTATCACCACGAAAACTGGAACATCTCTCATTGGTATTCATAGACAACCCTTGACAAGTTGTTATCAGAGCAAAGCCAAGTATACGAGAGTTATTGCACTGATCATTTTGTTATTACCAATATATACTGAATTTTAAAAAAAGCAACGCAAAGACAATCGTGCGTCTGTAAACCTTCGAAAAATATAAACTATATAGTATTGCCTACACACATATGTACATAATTGTTGTCATAAGTCGCAAAGGATGAAACAAAATTCAGTATAGAATTTTATTCCTATAAAAACATTCACCTGACTTTTGACTTCTGTTGACAATCACAACCGATAGATTCTTTTCACGTTCTTCTAATAATAACTGGAAGGAAGAGTGTTTACAAACGACACGGGAAACAACGCAAGTTTTTGTTTCGCCATGGACGGTGTTGAGATGTAATCATCATTTTCTGATAGATCAAATAGATGTGGATTTTGAGATGCAATTTACCAACGATGATGATCATGCGAATACCAATGGTTGTTTGTTCGGAAGTAGTTGATTTTATAACAACGAAAAACGTGAAGACTACCAACATGTTATATTTTGTATTCAAAAAAATTAAATCTTAATGTTGTTCTCATGTATAAAAGTATCCTTTACCCTATCGTAAATAGTATCGATAAATCCATATATTGTGGATGAAATGAATTAAGTGTTATCATTGATTTTTCTCTTCTCGATGTTAATTATTCATTGTTTGAAAGTGAAAGATCGTATATGTGTTCTTGAAATAAATGCAAATAAAAAAATTTCATTGATGACATTTAACATAATACATATCGGAAGTATGTTTTTCGGTATGGTTTCCTACTGAAATATGAACGAGAATAAATATCCATCTTTCTTTTATTCTACTATTCGTTATTTGTTCTATTTAGTTAGTATAATGAAGAAAGACTGAAACTTTAAGGACAGATGTTTTTTTCTTTATCACGGTCAAAACTTGCAAGAAGAGAACAAAGCATTTCTATTTTCCATGAACAATACGATTGCCTGGATAGTTTTCCTCATCATTCGGCATGTATCTTCTTCATCAGTTTCTTTCAATCAACTAAAGTTCTGTCCAAATGCGACATGGAACCTAAACGCTACAACGTTTGCCAATAATATTACCGTAGGTTCAAAGCCATACGCAATTTTTATTGATAATAATAATACAATTTATGTTGCTAATCAACAATACAACCGAATTGTCGTATGGCCAGACGGTAATTCCACACCAACGACACTTCCCCTTGCGAATTTATCCACACCAATGAGCCTTTTTGTTACTTATTCTCGTGATATATATGTTGACAGTGATAATCTTACCGGTCGAATAGATAAATGGACAATAAATTCAACAGTTGGCATTCCAGTAATGTACACATGTAATAAATGCTATGGTATTTTTATGGATGATGATAATATCATGTATTGCTCGATGAGTACGGCTCATCGTATAGTAGCTATGTCGTCCAATAGTAGTAGTTTAACAACTGTAGCTGGAACAGGTGCATCTGGCAGTACGGTTTTTACTTTGAACGGTCCCAGTGGAATATTTGTCGATACGAGCTATAATTTATATATCGCAGATACAAATAATCATCGTATCCAGCTTTTTCGATCAGGAGAGCTGAATGGAACTACGCTCGTTGGAAATAAGTCATTGATGGCAACAATTCCATTGAAAAATCCAACTGGAGTTACATTGGATGCAAACGGATATCTTTTCATTGCAGATAAAGGTAATAATCGCATCGTTGGATCAGGGCCCAACGGTTATCGATGTATAGCTGGATGCAATAGTTCTGGCCCATCGCCGTCTCGCTTATCTTCTCCATATTCCATCGGGTTTGATAGTTTCGGAAACCTATTTGTTGTTGACTATGGTAATAGTCGAATTCAGAAATTCAATCTGATCAATAGTTCGTGTAATTACACAGAAATAACATCAACAACAACAATAGCAACAAAAACAACTTCAGTGCAATCAAATTCAATAAACTATATTCCTTCGAATGGTAACGTACTAGTCGATACTTGTATATATAAACTACCGTGTGCTTTTAGTTGTTTCCTATAATCGACTAAAATTCTGCTCATCAGCAAGCTGGAATCCAAATGGAATCACTTTTTCAACAAACGAAACGACTGGTACTCAAAATTTTGGTCTCTTTATCGATAGAAATAATACAATTTATACAGTTAATCGAGATACAGGTGACANTTTAAAGGTGCTGGCGACGGCGTTTCGAAATGGATAGCACGCCCGGATATATTTCCTGATGGCCTTGTTAATCTACATCGTCGATTAGAAAATATTCCATTAGCGGCACATAATCGTTATTGGTCGTATGATACGGCTTATAAATACAATTATTCGTTTGCTCTGGATGAAAACAATCAGAAGGCATTACCGATTGGAAATGATTCATTCTGGGCGGATTTATTAACTCAAGCTCATGATTGGGGACTTGTTCTCTATGAACAAGATTGGCTTGATCGTCAAACAATGCAGTTTTCCCCTTTACTTACTGATATCCATCTTGGCCAGCAATGGCTGTCATCGATGGGCAGAGCAGCCGATCAAACAAATATCAATATACAATACTGTATGAGTTTACCACGTCATATACTTAGTGCTCTACCAATTTCACGTGTTACTCAAGCACGCGCGTCAACAGACTATGCATTTCATCTTGAAGGTAAAGCACAACAATGGGCGATAGGAATATCCAGCATGTTCCTGGATGCCATTGGTGTAGCACCCTTTAAAGATGTGTTTTGGTCAACGTCTGTTCAACCAGATGCTCCTTACAAATCAAATCCAAAGGAGGTTCTGCCTGAACGAGAAGCACTTATCGCGACTCTATCTACAGGACCTGTTACTCCAGGCGATGCAATCAATTATACAAACAAAGACGTTATCATGAGATGTTGCCGACCAGACGGTTTGATTTTCAAACCAGATCGACCATTAACAATGATTAATAGATTAATATCCGATTGGGCTCTTTATAATGGTACTTCTCAAGGCGAACTTTATTCGACTGAAACACATCTGATGTAAGTTCTTTCGTTGTCTCTCCTCTGCCCCTTCTAAAGTCAATCTTATTTAGATACCAAAAACCAGTCACATTTTATACCCTATTTGCTTCAGCGATGAAAAGAGATTATCAAATTTTTCCTTCGATGATTGGAGCTCAAGCTGGAGTTATTTGGTCATATGATAATCCGACTGAGGTGTTGACTTTTGATAATGAGCATCCTTTGAACGTATTAGCGAGCAAATGTCATGATTTATCGATATGCCGCTGGGGTATATCACCTCTTGTTCAGTTTGCTGATAAAACACAATATGCTTTTCTTGGCGAATGGAACAAATGGACACCTGTTAGTTCTCAACGAGTTGGCTATATAACTAATACGATCGGAATTAACTTAGCAGAAATAGGTCTCCAAGGTTTACTCAACGAAAGGTCTCCATTTCTCGTCTACCATTCCACTTTGGGAGTGGTGAATGTTACTTGTCCATTTGGACCGGATGCAGGCGAAGCTCAAATCGTTATTGATTCAACAAGAGTTATCTGCGTCTTTTAATTAGTCACTTAAATAAACTGATGACCTTTTAACTATATTCTTTTATTTTATGAAGGTGTGAGTGATCGGTTGATATCACCTTGAAATAATGAAAAGGTGAAAAAGAAACTATCTCGTAGTTGTTTATCTATAAATGTTCTTTTTCTCTTGCATAGATAGTATATCAAGAATCGTATCGAGTCATATAAAAAAAAACTTACTTTTTATGCGTTGTTGAAGCACACGCCATATGACAGATATGCAGTTGCCTTTGTGTATTTTAGTTTGTTTTGTGTTAACAACACTGATTTATGGGAAACCAATTCGTCAAAGTAAATATTTTCCATTTAATTGATGTGTATGTTTATTTTGTTTTCCGTGCAGTCGAAGAGGCACCACTTCGAGTGTTCTTTCGACATATAGATTTAAATGCAAATGATGAACTTGATGCCTATGAATTACAACATTATCTTCACGACATCGAGCCCGACGATAATGTTCCAGATCTTAAACACGTAATTCGTACAATGAAACGTACAATGAAGCAAGTAGCAAATGAGCATGAACAACACTTCAGTATCTCTTGGCAGCAATTCCATGACAATTTTATTGAACTGGATTCCCTCACCGATAATAACACCCCGCAAGTTCGTAGGCTTTTCTTTATGTTCGAATATACCGATACATTCTCTTCTACTATACTGTAGCAAATTCATCTATCGTTACTTGCCGATGGTACTTGGTCTTCTATGGTCGTTATCTGGATTTTAAAAGGTATTGGTAGTGAACACCAGCCGCCATCCTTTGTTCGATACGGAACCGTCAGCGGTAGCTATATCTATACACAAGCAGCTACAAATCGTACCTATGATGTTGGAATTGGTGGATGGAAAGGAACGATCTATGAAGCTAGGATGATAACCTTACAACCGTGTCAAATATACTACTACAGGTGATGTATAATCTATCAAGATATCATTCATTCTAATCGTAGGATTTGTTATGTGTAGAGTGGGAAACGCTAAAGCTTGGTCGGAGGAGTTTAGCTTCAAGACAGATTGTTCTAACGTTTCGACACGTGTATTTGCTGTGATGGGTGATATGGGTACTGTTATTCCAGCTGGACATCTTGTAGCTAAACAGATCACGGAAGATCATCGAACTACTCCGTTCACAAGTGTTGTACACGTCGGTGATATTAGTTATGCCGGCACTGGCTCGTCAGAAGAAATTGCCGTAAGTGTTTAGACAGAATCAAGCAATAATTCTTCTCTTACTTTTTCTTTATTTTTCATCTAGGAAGTTTGGGATATGTGGGGAAGACAAGTCGAGCCAATCTCATCGATAGTACCATACATGACCAATGTTGGTAACCATGAAGCTTATTACAATTACACAGCTTATCGAAACCGATTTCGCATGCCTGGTCCTGAAAGTCTTGGTTTGGATAACTTTTGGTTTAGCTTCAATACCGGACCAGTTCATTGGATATCGATGAGCTCACAAGTAAGCGAATATTCGAATCATTTCGTACAAGTGATTCTTGTTTCTTAGCATGACTACAGCAAAGACAGCGTTCAATATGCATGGTTAGTCAATGATTTGATTAAAGCCACCCAAAATCGCGCCCAACAACCATTTATCATCGTTGTTACACATAGACCATTATTGTGCTCAGACGAATCCGAACTCGAGTATATTTTCACTCGCAATTAACTTCTTAACATATACTGTTCTATTTCAGACAACATCTACCAAATTCCACGTTATTCAAAACAGTTTATTCTCTCTTCGTCAAATATCAAGTACAATTGATTATTACAGGTCATATGCATGTATATGAACGAATATTCTATGACAATACAACGATTATCACTAACAATACATACACCAACGTTCGTTCTCCTGTGATTGTTGTACAGGGAACTGGCGGAGCATTGGATAATGATAAATGGATACAGCCTCAACCTTGGTGGAGCAAATCGCGAATGATTGCCTATGGATATGGACGTGTTACTGTTTCTGTTAATGAGACGCAACGACGTCTTCACTATGAATGTCTACTTGAACATGATCGAAGTGTTTTTGATCAATTTTCAATTGTGATATGATTTTCGTTCAAAAATCAGAATATTTTTTGTCTTGTGAACAGAACTAACTACGGTAAAAGTTTAGTGCTTAACAATTTTCTAAAGCAGAAAAGAAATGAATGATACACAGAATGTTAAGAATTTTTTACTGATAATAAAACGGATATACTCACAAGCTCTGTCACAAAGAAGATACGGATTGCAAACACTGCAAGGAATGTACTTTGTACAATTATCACCACAAAAACTGGAACATCTCTCATTAGCATTAATAGAGAACCCTTGATTGGTTGTTATCAGAGCAAAGCCAAGTACACGAGAGTTATTGCGGTGATCATTTTGTTATTACCAATATATGCTGAATTGAAAAATAAGCAACGCAAAGACAATCGTGCGTGTGTCAACCTTCGAAAAATATGAATTATATAGTGTTGACTACACGCATATGTATACAATTGTTGTCAGTTGCAAAGAATGAAACGGAATTAGTTATTTTTTTTATAGAAAATTCAGTATAGAATAATTTCATTCTTATAAAACATTCGCCTTACTTTTGACTTCTGTTGACAATTGCAACCGATAGATTCTTTTCACGTTCTTCTAATAATAATTGAAAGGAAGAGTGTTTACGAACGACATGGGAAACAACGCATCTCAATCGATCAAATGAATAGATTGTTAGGGTTTCTTGACTTTTTTCTTCGAGAAAATGTAGATACAAATCAATTGAATTTAACGAACGGAGTCGTGATAAAGATCTTTTATACAATAAAAATACGCAAGCTTTTGTTTCGTCATAGACGGTGTTGAAATATAATCAATATTTTCTGATAAATCAAATAGATGTGGATTTCGAGATTCAATTTATCAACATTGATGATCGTGCGAATGAATATCAATGGTTGTTTGTTCGGAAATAGTTGATTTTATAACAACGAAAAACGAGAAGACTACCAACATGTTATATTTTGCATCCAATAAAATTAAATTTTGATGTTGTTCTCATGTATAAAAGTAACCTTTACCCTGTCGTAAATATTATCGATAAATCCATATATTGTGGATGGAATGAATTAAGTCTTAACATTGATTTTCTCTTCTCAATGTTAATTATTCATTGTTTGAAAGTGAAAGATCATGTATATATTCTTGAAACAAATGCAAACAAGAAAATTCCATTGATGACATTTTACATAATACATATCGGAAGTATGTTTTTTTGTATGGTCTCCTACTAAAATATGAACGAGAATAAATATCCATTTTTCCTTTATTCTACTAGTTGTTATTTGTTCTATTTAGTTAGTAATGAAGAAAGACTGAAACTTTAAGGACAGATGCACTTTTGTTTATCACGGTCAAAATTTGCGAAAAGAGAACAGAGCATTTCTATTTTCCATGAGCAATACGATTGTCTGGATAGTTCTCCTCATCATTGAACATGTATCTTCTTCATCAGTTTCTTTCAATCAACTAAAGTTCTGTTCAAATGCGACATGGAACCTGAACGCCACAACGTTTGCCAGTAATATTACCGTAGGTTCAAAGCCATACGCAATTTTTATTGATAACAACAACACAATTTATGTTGCTAATCAACAACATAACCGAATTGTCATATGGCCACAAGGCAATTCCACACTAACGACACTTTCCCTTGCGAATCTGTCTACACCAATGAGCCTTTTTGTTACTTACTCTCGTTATATATATGTTGACAGTGACAATCTTACCGGTCGAATAGATAAATGGACAATAAATTCAACAGTTGGCATTCCAGTAATGTACACATGTAATAAATGCTATGGTATTTTTATCGATGATCGTAATATGATGTATTGTTCGATGAGTACTGCTCATCGTATAGTGACTATGTCATCGAATAGTACTAGTTTAACAACTGTAGCTGGAACAGGTGCATCCGGCAGTACGGTTTTTACTTTGAGCGGTCCCAGTGGAATATTTGTCGATACGAGCTATAATTTATATGTCGCAGATACAAACAATCATCGTATTCAGTTTTTTCGATCAGGAGAATTGAATGGAACTACACTCGTTGGAAATAAGTCATTGATGGCAACAATTCCATTGAAAAATCCAACTGGAGTTACACTGGATGCAAACGGATATCTTTTCATTGCAGATAAAGGTAATAATCGCATCGTTGGATCAGGACCCAACGGTTATCGATGTATAGCTGGATGCAATAGTTCTGGCCCAACACCGTCTCGCTTGTCTTCTCCATATTCCATCGGTTTTGATAGTTTTGGAAACCTATTTGTTGTTGACAATGGTAATAGTCGAATTCAGAAATTCAATCTGATCAATAGTTCGTGTAATTACACAGAAATAACATCAACAACAACACTAACAACAACAAAAATAACTTCAGTACAATCAAATTCAATAAACTTTATTCCTTCGAATGGTAACGTACTAGTCGATATCTGTATAATACAAACTATCATGTGCTTTTAGTTGTTTCCTATAATCGACTAAAATTCTGCTCATCGGCAAGCTGGAATCCAAATGGAATCACTTTTTCAACAAACGAAACGACTGGTACTCAAAATTTTGGTCTCTTTATCGATAGAAATAATACAATTTATACAGTTAATCGAGATACAGGTGACATACTAATTTGGTCGAGTAATAGCACAAATGTTACGCGAAGAATATCAGGCAATTACACAACTGCTCGAGGCCTTTTTGTTTCGATAGCTGGTGATATTTACATTGATAATGGATACCAGAATGGTCAAGTTGAAAAATATTCATTGACAGACAATATCAGTACACCTGTGATGTTCGTTGGTCAACAATGTTTCGGTCTCTTTCTCGATTTTAACAATACTCTCTATTGTTCAAAGAATGGTTTCCATCAAATTGTGACAAAATCATTGAATACGAATTCAGGTTCGATTAAAATAGTAGCTGGAAGAGATTGTGCTGGTTCACTGCCAAACCAACTAAATGCACCACATGGACTTTTTGTTAATATCAATTTCGATTTATATGTAGCCGATTATGGTAATAATCGAATTCAACTTTTTCGACCTGGTGAATTGAATGGAACAACTGTAGCAGGGAATACATCAATCAATACGACGATCTCATTATACAATCCAACAGGAATTACTTTCGATGCCGAGGACAATATTTACATTGTGGATAAAAGTAATCAGCGTATCGTGGTATCGGGACCGACTGGATTTCGATGTTTTCTCGGATGCAACGGGTCAGGTTTATTACCTTATCAAATGAATGCACCACAGATTCTTAGTTTTGATATTTATGGTAATATCTACGTCACTGAATGGGCCAACAATCGCATAAAACAATTTTTCATTGTTAATAATTCATGCGGTAAATATCTATTGAAATTTACTCTGCGTTTCCTCAAGAAATCATTTCTTCTAGATGAACCCACAACGCAACTCTCAACAGTAGTGACGACTGTGTCTTATCAAAAGGGTAATTTGCACTTTGAGGATGAATTAAACTCATATAATATTGTTCATAGCAAATGTTTCTTCGACAGTTTTGATCTTGCCATCCTGTCTCAATCAGAACCAAATAGGTTCCAATTGTAATCATTCATCTGCACCCTGTGATATTCTTATGCCCTGTCAAAATAGCGGTACTTGTATCAATGGAAACAAAACTGTAAATGATTACAGTTGTGTGTGTTTGTCTGGCTTCAATGGTACTCAATGTGAAGTTGATAATCGATTATGTAAACCGAATACATGTCAGAATAACGGTAGGAATGATTCTTTAACGAAGAAATACATTGTATTTTTATTCTGTATAGGTAAATGCACAGAAACATCGTCCACGACATTTGAATGCTCATGCCGGTCTGGTTGGACGAATACCTATTGTGAAACCAAAGAAAATTACTGTGAAAATATCACATGTTTGAATAATGGTATATGTCGACCATTGTTATTGAATTTCACATGCGAATGCCTTGGAACAAGTTATTCTGGTCGATATTGTGAAAATAGAGAACAAACAACAGTGGTGCGTCAAGCTGTTTCCAGATCATTTAGTTACATAGCTATTATTTTTATATCAAGTGTGGCTACATTTATTATTGTCATGGATGTGCTGAAATATGTATTTGGTATTGATTTAACAAAAGGTGACTATCAAGAACTCGCACGAAAGCGAAGACGCTGGCGTCGATATAGACCATGGCATTCGAAAGAAGCCAAACATCCTAAACAAATGCAACGACTTGTCTACACCAACAGTTTGAGAGTACCATCTAGCGGAACTCTTGCTATGCCGAATATCTCCATCATTGAAGAAACCATTTGTTAGATAAAAATCAACAAGAATATTTACATGTAACCATAAATCGATTGGCAAAGACGAGTTTTTTTGTAAATTAATCAACAAGTAACGCGATGCCGTAGTCGCTGGCTCTCTACTGAAAGAAAAATGGCAAGATCTCTAATATTCTTCAAGCGAAAGAAATACGAATTACGCCATTTAAATAATCCAGTCATTTGATCATGAGCCTCAATCTTTTATTCATACTCATTTTACTTCCTAAACTCTTATTAGACTAACGTCTAGTCGTTCCCATAACTGTCTCCGCTATGCCTTTCACTCTTGTTTAACTTTTAAAGTGAATAACTACGTTTCTTTTCATTGTTGCTTTCAAACTGGCGATCTTCCACTCATTTCGTTACCAGAAGAAACTAGATAAGAAGGTTTATTCTATAATTTATCCTGGAAAGAACATCCATCCTACCGCCTCATATGTTTAGAATACTATTTGTATAGTCGATGCTTCTGTGAGGGTGTGGGTGTGGGTGCGGGTGTGCATGCGATATAATGCTTTTTCTCATCTGATGGATTATCCTTTAGTATGCCCTTACTTCAATGCATTTTCTTGCGTTCTCTTCTGTTGTATGGACGAAAGTATAAGAAGACATGTCTTGTATGAGATTGATATAATTTATGCGAAATAAATAAATCTAGACGTAGTTCCATCTGTGCACACATCTTTCCTTAAAAAATCGTCATATTTATAAAAATATATGTAAAAAAGACATAATGAAAATCTTGTATCACATCTGTAATTTTAATTAAAAAATAATTAATTAAACACGCGATCTACAAGGACAACATGGGACATAAATCCATTTCAGTCAGATTAAAACGTCAGAAAAAACTATTATCTTTTCACTATAAAATAGATGTTTTTTTTTCTGTCTTGGTAACATTTAAAAACCAAGACATTTTCATATTAGCAATGTCAACAACAATTTTATCTTATATTCAACTTCAAATAATTCGTTATGCCACACCAATTATTTTAATTTTAGGCAATCTTGGTAATATTTGTATTATCATTTCATTTAGTCGACGTCGTCAAAGTTCTTGTGCAATGTATTTATTATTTAATGCATTATTTAATAGCTTTTATTTAACATTTAATGTTTCATTATCTCTCTATGGTCTTTATTATGGAAATCCAACAAGTTCAAATCTAATTCTTTGTAAATGTCGGTATTATTTATCTCAAACATGGAATCAAACAGCAACAACTTTTGCTATACTCGCATGTATTGATCGTTTTGCATTAGTTACTCGTCATAAATATCTTCAATTAATCAATAAATCATTCATATGTCGAATAATTATTGGAATAACTTGTATTTCTTGGCATACTTTATTTATTCCTACATTATTGTTTGTTACAATTTGGAATNGCTCGAGGCCTTTTCGTTTCGATAGCTGGTGATATTTACATCGATAATGGATACCAGAATGGTCAAGTTGAAAAATATTCATTGACAGACAATATCAGTACACCTGTGATGTTCGTTGGTCAACAATGTTTCGGTCTCTTTCTCGATTTTAACAATACTCTCTATTGTTCAAAGAATGGTTTCCATCAAATTGTGACAAAATCATTGAATACGAATTCAGGCTCGATTAAAACAGTAGCTGGAAGAGATTGTGCTGGTTCACTACCAAACCAACTAAATGCACCACATGGACTTTTTGTTAATATCAATTTCGATTTATATGTAGCCGATTATGGTAATAATCGAATTCAACTTTTTCGACCTGATGAATTGAATGGAACAACCGTAGCAGGGAATACATCAATCAATACTACGATCTCATTATATAATCCAACAGGAATTACTTTCGATGCCGAGGACAATATTTACATTGTCGATAAAGGTAATCAGCGTATCGTGGTATCGGGACCGACTGGATTTCGATGTTTGCTCGGATGCAACGGGTCAGGTTTATTATCTTATCAAATGAATGCACCACAGATCCTTAGTTTTGATATTTATGGTAATATCTATGTCACTGAATGGGTCAACAATCGCATAAAAAAATTTTTCATTGTTAATAATTCATGCGGTAAATATCTGTTGAAATTTATTCTGCGTGTCGCCAAGAAATTATTCCTTCTAGATGAACCTACAACGCAACTCTCAACAGTAGTGACGACTGTGTCTTATCAAAAGGGTAAGTTGCACTTTGAGGACGAATTGAACTCATATAATATTGTTCATAGCAAATGTTTCTTCGGCAGTTTTGACCTTACCATCCTGTCTCAATCAGAACCAAATAGGCTCCAATTGCAATCATTCATCTGCACCATGTGATATTCTTGTGCCCTGTCAAAATAACGGTACTTGTATCAATGGAAACAAAACTATAAATGAGTACAGTTGTGTGTGTTTGTCTGGCTTTAATGGTACTCAATGTGAAGTTGATAATCGACTATGTAAACCAAATACATGTCAGAATAGCGGTAAGAATGATTCTCGAACGAAGAAATACATTGTATTTTATTCTGAATAGGCAAATGCAAAGAAACGTCGTCGACGACATTTGAATGCTCATGCCAGTCTGGTTGGACAAATATCTATTGTGAAACCAAAGAAAATTACTGCAAAAATATTACATGTTTGAATAATGGTATATGTCGACCATTGTTACTGAATTTCACGTGCGAATGTCTTGGAACAAGTTATTCTGGTCGATATTGTGAAAATATAGAACAAACAACAGTGGTGCGTCAAGCTGTTTCCAGATCATTCAGTTACATCGCTATTATTTTCATATCAAGTGTGGCTACATTTATAATTGCCATGGATGTGCTGAAATATATATTTGGTATTGATCTAACAAAAGGTGACTATCAAGAACTCGCACGAAAGCAAAGACGCTGGCGTCGATATGGCCAACGGCATTCGAAAGAAGCCAGACTACCTAAACAAAAGCAACAATTGATCTACACCGACAATTTGAGAGTACCATCTAGCGGAACTCTTGCTATGCCGAATATCTCCGTCATTGGAGAAACCATTTGTTAGATAAAAAGTAACAAGAATATTTACATGTAATCATAAATCGATCGTCAAAGACAAGTTTTTTGTAAATTAATCAACGAGTAACGCGGTGCCGTAGCCGCTGGTTCTCTACTGAAAGAAAATGATAAGATCTCTCATATTCCTCAAGCGAAAGAAAGACGAATTACGCCATTTAAATAATCCAATCATTCGATAATGAGCCTCAATCTTTTAATCATACTCATTTTACTTTCTAAACTCTTATCAGACTAACGTCTAGTCGTTCCACGTAACTGTCTCCGTTATGCCTTTCACTCTTGATTAATTTTTAAAATGAATAACTACGATTCTCCACTCATTTCGTTACCAGAAGAAACTAGTTAGAAGGTTTATTTTATGACTTACCCTAAAAAGAACACTCATCCTAGCGCTTCATATGTATAAAATACTATTTGTATAGTCGATGTTTTCGTAGCTAACAAGATGGAGTCACTCGGACGGGCATATCTTCTTGCGCCATATTTTCCGCTAATAACAATGTAATAATGATATGAAGCGCATACAACTTGTTCTGATTTCTTGAGTTATATAACTATCATAATGTAAGATACATAAAATATTTTGTGTAAATTCATAATCTACTACCTTTGTACACATCACACTCAAGAATACTGTTCAATCTACTACTTTCTACAAAAAAATTCTAGCAAAGACGTAGAAAAATATCTCTTCTGGAAAGAGAAAGAAAGAAGTCGAAGCTTGGTGAATAGGAATGAACTTTAACTCAACTTCTATGTATAACCTTTTTTCAGTAGAGGGAACATGTTCGAGATTTATCGAAAGTTTGGAAGAAACGTTCTTTTCTTAAATAGTTTATTTAACAAAATATTCTATAGTGTCCATTGTTGATTATTATGGACTGTTTTGACAGCGAAAATAAGAAAATTTTCTTCAACGTGTGCTGTGTACATGCACTGCTTTTTGTCATCTGATAGATTATCCTTTAGTATGCCCTTACTTCAATGCATTTTCTTGCGTTCTCTTCTGTTTGTATGGACGAAAGTGTAAAAAGACATGTCTTGTATGAGATTGATGCGAAATAAATAAATCTAGACGTAGTTCCATCCATGCGCACATCTTTCCTAAAAAAATCACCATATTTATGGGAATATACGTAAAAAAAACTATTGAAAATCTTGTATCAGATCTGTAATTTTAATTAAACACGCGATCTACTATGACAACATGAGACATAAATCCATTTTAGTCAGATTAAAACGCCAGGAAAAAACCACTATCTTTTCATTATAACATAGATGGCTTTTTTCTGTCTTGATAATATTTTAAGAAAAAGAAATTTTCAGATTAGCAATGTCAACAGCAATTTTATCTTATATTCAACTTCAAATAATTCGTTATGCAACACCAATTATTTTAATTTTTGGTAATCTTGGTAATATTTGTATTATCATTTCATTTAGTCGACGTCGTCAAAGTTCTTGTGCAATGTATTTATTATTTAATGCATTATTTAATAGTCTTTATTTAACATTTAATGTTTCATTATCTCTGTACGGTCTTTATTATGGAAATCCAACAAGTTCAAATCTAATTCTTTGTAAATTCCGTTATTATTTATCTCAAACATGGAATCAAACAGCGACAACTTTTGCTATACTCGCATGTATTGATCGTTTTGCATTAGTTACTCGTCATAAATATCTTCAATTAATCAATAAATCCTTCATATGTCGAATAATTATTGGAATAACTTGTATTTCTTGGCATACTCTATTGATTCCCACATTATTCTTTGTCACAATTGAAAATCGATCATGTACATTTATTGGTATATATTATTTAATTTATTCAATTTATATAGCAGTATTTCTTTCTTTGATTCCACCAATATTAATGATTATATTTGGTTTATTATCATATCATAATATGACTCAATTACATAAACGTATTCGACCAATGATGAGTAATCATATTGTTATTATTCATCGTCGAGATCGGCAATTATTTCTTTTAGTTCTTGCTCAAGCAATTGTTTATGTATTAACAATTTTTCCTTATCCATTCATTGTTTTAGAAGTTACAATAACGAACCAAATGGGAATACAGAAAAGTGTGGAGTGGATACAAATTGAAAATTTCCTATCAATTATTGGAGTAGTACTTACTTATATAAGCTGTGCCACACCCTTCTACACGTATTTTATGACTTCGAAAACATATCGAAAAGATTTTCTTAAGAGTTTTACTCAATGTCAACGCCAATCATTAGTGGAAAATTGAGAAAACCATCTATACCTAAAATCCTTAATAATATGTCAATGTTTCTAAGACACTTATTGTCATAATCTTATACGTTGCTAATTAAAGAAATTTTTCTATAACGTAAACTAATTTCTCACATGATTCTTCATATTTTATGTACCATCACATAACCGACAGTTTTTTTTAAAAGTGGAGTATAGTTTGGACCACTAAAATAGCAAGAAATCGATAAATCACAATTTTGTTGATTTTCGTCTATTATCACCTGAAGAAGCTTGCAAAGCAAAATAATATTGTATTGTTTGGTATATATGTTCACTGAGTTCTTCTTTCAAAGATCTTAAAACGAGGACATCGTGAAAAAGGAAACGTCGCTGCAAAGCTTTCTTTCGTATAATGTCTTTAATTCACTAGACACGTAGAGGATCAAGATCGTTCATAATATCAAAACCTATTTAATCTTCAAAATGCATTTTATGATCAGAAAGAACTAATACAGAAGAAAACGGCTAATGTTTTACTGGTAGAAGTAGCTCTACCAGCTGTGTGATGAGCGATTATGTTGTTCAGGCAAAGAGAGGATATACACTATGCATTTGCGCTGCAGAACATTATAAAGAAAATATGTTCGATTAGAAACTTCAAAGATTTTTCTCACAAGCATTTGTGAGAAGCATTCAGTACACACATCAGGAAATTAGCCTTTATACTCAACAATGTAGTTGTAATCGATTTGGAAGATTCAAAATGACCTCAGATTCATTTGACATTGAATAATATAACTAGGTCAATCGCGTAAAACAACACATTAGCGACTTCTAAGTGTGATGAAACCAAGCTTCTTATAAAATGTTCGATAAAACGCGCTTAAATTAAGTAGATTGTGATGCCTCAAAGATAGGATAGGCAAAATTTTCCCCGAAACTCGAAAGGGCAACGTAATTACTTAGGTGTATCCACAAGTAATGTCATCTCTATTTTATTCCTTTATTAAAAGGTGAAAAGGAGATTCTTTTTTACCGAAAGATAGGGAAAATAAAGCTCTACTTTTCTATACCATTTGATTCTCCTTCACTTAATACTATAGCAAGAAATTTTCGCCGTGAATTATGCTTGTGTAAAACTTAAGTAACGAAAAGGCTATTAGGAGTGTTCGCATTTCTAATACATTATATTACAAGTAGCGCTCATCGGTTGAATTCGCTGTCCCTTTTCTGAACGAATTTTAAAAGTAGTAGATAAAAGCTTACTTGTATTTCAATCTAAGCGTCTTCGAGTTGAAGTCATATTTATGCATATTATTTCCTTTTAATCCTTTTCTACTTTATTCATGAGAAATTACTCTGAATCCATCTGTTCAAAGATATAAGCAAAGCGAACAATGTTTGTAAACATTTATTCATCGACTCTCTTCCGACTATTCAAAACAAAAATTCGATTTACGTACTTTCGCTTAGGGGCGCATTCAATTGAGCGACAATCATGTGGCCGACACATTCTTTGGTCGACAGCCTGTTTGACCGACAAACCATTTAGCCGACACAGTCTTGAAGTCAAAAGAATTCAAATTTCTCGAAAATAAGGGTGGGTGAGGGTGATGAACTCAAACGTTTTCTCTCCGTTTAGTTATCATCACGTGTCTCATTGTTCAGGGATTATTCCTGATGATATTATCTCACCTTTTCTCTGTTTGTGATTATCTTGTGTCTCCTCTGAATTTCTCTCTCTCACACTCTCCAGGGTTTATCTCATTGTTGCGAGCAATATCATGTGAATCTCTTTGTCTATCTGTTACTGCATGTCGTCGCCTATAAAAGGCAACGTTTCGATTTGTAATATGCAGTAGCTGCATGATCTTCACTTATCCATCTGCTCGACAGACTCTAACCTCCACCTTCTCCGGGCGCTCATTATTTGTGTTAATGATTGTTCAATCAATTGTTTTGACTTCAGGACTCTGTCGAGGAAATGAGTTGTTGGTCAAGTGAACCAGACGCTCCGCTTATTTTATTTTCTCTAAGCTTCTTAAATAAGCCCCTAGTCGGTCGGCCACTCACGGCTAGCGTTCCCATGCGTACTCATTTTACTATTTTAACTTCATTTGAACGAAAATGTTATCCAGAAATGAGGTCATTTTAAAAAAATCGATTCATAGTCGAAAGCTTACAAACTTTACATAGATATATCATTCTCTGCAAACAGATTTCATTCTTCTCTTCACCACGAAGAACTTTAAAGAGCAGCCAGATATTATTTTGGAGATCAACGATTAAGTTCTACGTCCAAGAAATCTTAAAACTTATATGAAAATCTGTTCTTTAGAGAATACATCCTATTCCGCAATGTTGCACATTTGGGAATCAGTTCCGCACACGGAATCAGTTCCTACGATTCCGGAAGTACACCCACTCCCTTCACCCTCACATACCATCTCCCCTATGCACAACCGAATTCCATTTACGGAATTCCGGAATCAGTTGAAGGAATTTCGGAATTCATTGAACTTGTGTAAGGACGGAATTTCGGAATCGATTCTGCGTGCGGAACTGGTTCCCAAATGCTCAACATTGCGGAATAGGATGACTGCTCGTTCTTTAAAATATTATACTTCAAATCAACGACTGATCGCTAGTCGGCCTTCTTCTGGTCGGTCACTCGCTGCTCGCTGCTAGCCGTTACATGTACATTTTTGCTCTCTCATCTAATCTAGAACCACTTTCGAAACTAATCAATCCATTCCCTTTTAGTCCTTCTTAAAAAGTCACCGTCTTTGTTTTATTACGGCTATCGAAAACAACACTTCACAAAGTAAACATTATTTTGATTGACTTGCACCAGATGATATTTCTATAATATAGCTATCTATACAAGTGTGTAATCTCAATAATATGCTGATGACTATCGGGATCCAGCAATCGGACGCTAGTCAGCTATAAGATTTTGTTCTACATATTACCGCTTAAAACACTATCGGCTACGAAAAGTGATCCTGTGTCGGGAAAAAGGAGACAGAAAGCTTTCATGAAAAAAACCTCAGATTTGAGCTCCCCGACCTAAATTACCGTTCGGTCAACCCTCACTGCGCACATTAATAGCTCATCCCTAATTCGTCTGAACGTAACTAATAGTTAATAACTAGTTAAAACTTATTCCAGATTCTAGTTCTTCGACCTCGATTATTTATCTAGTAGTCGGTTTATATCTGATAAGGGTAAATTTCGATGATTTAAGAAATCCTTATTTCTGATTGGTTTGGATCAACAAACTCATACTGATTTTTAACGCGACTATAATCCTTTCTTTCAGAAAGGGAATAACTGTGAAAGTTGATCTGATTAAGAAAAATCCGTTTAATCCGAAAGACAGCAGATATTTGAAAATCTTTCTACTGCGCTTAGGAATAATACCGCGCGACGGCCCCTTGCCCCCTACTAAATGTATTATCAGCTTCTCTGTGTTTCTCAAATGACAAATAAAACTTGTTGCATTTCAATGATCTATCTATCTCATAGTTTGTCTGTCTTTCACTCATGCTCATTTCATTTGCTAAAACAGTTCTCATGCAAACGCCTAGTCGTTCCCATGATTATCCCTACTATGCCTTTCACTTTTGATTAATTCTCAAAGTGACTGACTACGCTTCCCGTCATTCTGGCTTCTAAATTAGAGACTTGCCATGCATTTGATTATCAAAAGAAAATAGAAAGAGACTTTTATCTTATGATCTGGTTTTAAAAAAGCATCCATCATAGTGCCTGATATGGTCAAATTAGTATCTGCCTAGTCGTTGTCTCTATAGGTAATAATATAGAACTACACTGACGGCCATACTTCTGGAGACCTACTTCCGCTAAAATCCTATCGAAAGACAGCATGTGTCACAGCGTGAAAAAAAACTATATTAACTTCATACTATTTCTTCTGATCTCTTAAATTGTAAATATCATCATGTGAGATATACTAAAGTCTTTTGGTGCAAATGTCTAAACAACTATCTTCGCACACATCTTATGGCAAGCATGGGCAAGTCAAGTCCAAAACTGTATAAATATATCCAAGTGTTTTATGCAGTTTAGTATTAATTTTAGGCCTAAAAGTATCAAAAAAATTTTAATTAAGAATCATAGAAGAACTTATGTAGTGAACTGACGCCAAATATGGGAAGTCAACTCGATTTTTGTCTTGACTCAAACCAAGTTAAGTCTATCTTCGACTTGGATCAAAAAGCTGATGCCTTGTATATGTCTGCCTTATGGTAACTAGTTAAGATTATCCTTTTCCAATGTGCTCGAACGAAACTTCCTTTTCTTTTTCGTTCTTCTGATACACTTATGCAGAAAGACGAAAAACATAAGGACATTCTCGGTTGTATTCCATCATACCCAGCCATAGTGCTTAACCTACTATCTCCTACACGAGAATTTAGAAAAGACTCAGAAACATATCTGTTTTGAAAAGAGAAAGGAAGAAGCCGCACCTCAACGAATAAAGAAAAACTAATAGCGGATTCGGGATCTCCGACCTCAGTTACCCTTACTCGGCAACAAAAAAATATTTATTTCCCTAGTTGGTAATTAGCTAATTGAGATCTCGAAAAACTAATCACGAATTCGAGATCTCCAACCCTGATTACCTCGGTAGTAGTCACTTTCTAGTTTTTATCGGTAAATTTCATTGACTTAAGAAATGCTGCTCTCTGATTGGATAGGACTGACAGACAGACAGAAAAACTTAAGGGTTTTCGAGCCATGTATTTAACCGCTGTATAACCCTTTCTTTCAGAAAAGGGAGAAATATATTTTAGAGATCAAAGATCATCTGCCAATATAGCAACATACATGGGGAAATCTTTCTAAGGATTACAAACCCACTAGACCTTTTTTTATTTATTAAACATCCAACAACGCTTCTCTATTTCCTATATAATGAAATTCTAATTTTTATAGTGCATAGAGTACCTTGTGTATAAACCCGTCGATTCACCACTTTTCTGTTTGAATGTTAAAATTTTGTGTATGGTTATGCTTCTTATAGGTAAGATAAAATGAAGTACGCAAAATATAATTTTTTTCATTCCTTTCTTTCTTTTCAAAGTAACTATTACTCTAATGCATTAGATTGACAATGACAACTTCTTCAAGAACACTTGATGCCAGGGCATCATTCTACATATCAAAGCATTTTAAAGCCAGTTGCAGCAACAGAATTGACATCAAACTTCAAATTGTACTTTTTTCATCAAAGAACATGCGGCGTCTTTACAAATGGTAGAGTAGTGTAGAAATCGTTAACTCGATTCGAGTATTAAAACTTCGTTCGAATTCTAAAACTTATAAATCTAGAACTCGAAGCTTCGAGTTTTCAACTATTCAACTTCTAAACCTATAAATCTAGAACTCGAAGCTTCGAGTTTTAAACTATTCGAGTTTTCAACTTTTAAACTTATAAATCTAGAACTCGAAGCTTCGAGTTTTCAACTATTCAACTTCTAAACCTATAAATCTAGAACTCGAAGCTTCGAGTTTTCAACTATTCAACTTCTAAAC